CAATTACATGGAGGTTGTAAATGTTAAGCGTGATCTCTTGAAATAAAGTGCACAAATACATATAAATATTAAAAGTAAGCATGATAATTGCAAAACAGGTCCCTGGGTTCTCGTTTAAATTAATAAAAATGTATAACTATTAAAAAAACCTCACATTATAATTGAAATTAAATTTAAATATATTTATTTTTAGAATTATTACAAAGACAGAAATTGTGTGTGTACCGTATCTTTTGAAATAACAGTGTGTTCCGTACCATTTCAACATAACTTTATGAAAAATATGCTAAAACATAACTGCATTCACTCGATACATTGGACATAGTAAATATATCAGATTTAACATGTATTTTTTCTATGAAATAGTGTCAAAAAAACATATGACTTGCTAGAAATTGCTTGTTATGACAAATGAGTGTGTACCGTTCCCCTCGGCCCAGGCTATGAAAAGAAAACTGTACTCGAATGTTCTCAAAAACCATTCAGGGGTTTTCAGAATTTTGATATACCGTGGATAACTGATATAATTACGGGTACTCTGCGCCTTATCTGATCAAAATCGGTTGAGTAATAAATAAGTTGTGAATAAAAACATACCTGAATCGGGTGAAAAATCGGCGTGTTCCGTACCCGAAAAGTCACGTGGTATGGCCACATTGTCCACGGTATATCAAAATTCTGAAAACCCCTGAATGGTTTTTGAGAACATTCGAGTACAGTTTTCTTTTCATAGCCTGGGCCGAGGGGAACGGTACACACTCATTTGTCATAACAAGCAATTTCTAGCAAGTCATATGTTTTTTGACACTTTTTCATAGAAAAATACATGTTAAATCTGATATATTTACTACATGTATGTCCAATGTATCGAGTGAATGCAGTGATGTTATAGCATATTTTCATAAAGTTATGTTGAAATGGTACGGAACACACTGTTATTTCAAAAGATACGGTACACACACAATTTCTGTCTTTGTAATAATTCTAAAATAAAATATATAATAAAATTTCATTTCAATTATAATGTGAGTGATTTTTTTTATAGTTATACATTTTATTAATTTAAACGAGAACCCAGGGACCTGTTTTGCAATGTATCATAATGCTTACTTTAAATGTTTATATGTATTTGTGCACTATATTTCAAGATATCACGCTTAACATTTACAACCTCCATGTAATTGTCCTATTTAAAATCACCTAGGGTATGTTAAACACTTCGATCTTCACAGAATCAGGTAGTTGTGCTCTATAGAAAGAAAATGTCGTTATATAATGCTGTGTTTATTGTTGTTTATTGTTGTTGTTTTTTTCTTTTAGTTTAAGTGAAGTAAGATATTTCTTTTTACTTCATCCTGAAAAAATAAAACAAGGTCATGACCTAAATTGCTGGAAAGTATCATTACTTGATAACAATTTATATATATTTATATTTTGTTAATAATAAGCAAGTCATTAGGTACAATTTTGCAATATCATGATCATGTTTAAGTAAATTAAATCACAGAAGGCGCTGAATTTGTTTGGGTCTTAGAATGTCAGAAAGGTGAAGGCTGTGAGATTGTAAACCAATTTGTTTTTGTATAGTGCCACCGATGTTGTTTCTAGTGTCATAACTGTAGTAAATTGGCTATAAGGCTTATTGCAACACTGATATGTAATTCATTGTTTATTTGGCTTTAACAATTAAAAACAAAAAAACATGAGTTGCCTTAACTTGGATTTGAACTCAAGACATCTCTCTTCCTAAACAAGCGTGTAACCCCTCGACCGCGGGGAAGTTATAAGATAACAGCATGAAGAAAACCATATCATTCTAAATTAGGGTTTGTATCCCTTATTATTTTCGTTTGACACTGATGTAAATAATCATGGAGCTTAACATTACATGTATATCTGTAAAGAATTACACAATATTTGAAATCTTTGACCAATCGGGAACTACTTTTTCTTTTCCCGAGAAGGCTTGAAAATTAATGCGCCCGTCATTTGACAATCTTAACACAGTGACCCCCCCCCCCCCCTTATTTTTTCAGCGTTAGAGTACATATAAAGGTAAGTAACCACTTCCAGGGGTTCGGACTACTTTCTTATTTTGCAAATAACCATATCAGAGCCTGAAATTTCGCTACCATTATTTGTTTGGTCTGACGACCCATACAAATAAAAATGTAGTCGCCATTGCTTAAATTTTTAATGTTTAAAGGCATGAAGCTTTAAAACTTTTAATTCATGTAATTAGGTCATTTTTGGTTTGGTTTCACGGCTCATAAAACTGACATTATCATGTGGCGACTTTCGAGTTTTACAAGTGCCCCTTTGGGTATAAATAAAGGAACGAACGGGCACCTGAGTAAAACGACCGACATTCTGTACGGTAGTAAGAAAACTTTCTCACATAAAAAAATCGAAACATCGAAGTCACTTGTGGTCTCGTACCTACTTCATGTAGTATATAAAACAGAACGCAGCCTCCAAAATCCATAGCATTTGATTGACAAAATGGGTATTATTAAAATATCATTTTATTTTTAACACAAACACGTACGCAAGCACACATATCCATGAACTCATGTATTAATTGCATCTTGAAATGAAAGTCCAAGATAGGCATAATTTTACCAAATTTCCTAACATGTATATCCTTACATGTATATGTAACAAGGTTACCTTGTATAAACTACGTTACGTTATATAACAGGCCTTGTTCCCATATTGGTTCTTCAAATTATCAAATTATTAATTTTGATTGCACGTAAAACTGCGAAATATATTTGTCCATATGTAGATAATTTGATAATTTAGATCCATGCAGTTAGTTTGGGACCCTGGCAGATGATTCATACGAAATATCATGTGGCCGAAAAAAACTTTAAACTTTCCGTGATTTAAAAAAATCCACTTACATCAAAACCAGCGTTTTTTCTCCAAATTCGATTATTTAAACAACATTTTGCAAGGATCATATATTTCCAACTTACTCCTAACTTCTTGTTTGTTTATATATTCATACTACGTTTAGACAGTCATTTATATATTCGAACAAACAAATTAAATGAAACAATAATCGCACATAACAGATGTCCATGAATTTCACAATTCGTTTTATAATCCAAAAGAATATACCTAATTGTTTCAAATGAAAATCAAAACAAAACAAAATTTTGAATGTCTTCCGTATCCCTCCCTAAAATTTTAACATTTTATAGCCAAAAAATAATTGCTCTACATATAAAAGCGAATTTTGCGCAACGTACTCTCAAAATGTTCTTTTATTTTTTGAATAATCCTGTTAACATCAAACTGTAGGCATAATGATACTTTGCAAAACAGGTCCCAGGGTTCTCGTTTAAATTAATAAAATGTATAACTATGAAAAAAATCACTCACATTATGATTTAAATTATTTTTTTTATATATTTTATTTTAGAATTGTTTCAAAGACAGAAATTGTGTGTGTACCGTATCTTTTGAAATAACAGTGTGTTCCGTATCATTTCAACAAACTTTATGAAAATATGCTAAAACATCACTGCATTCACTCGATACATTGGACATAGTAAATATATCAGAATTAACATGTATTTTTCTATGAAAAAGTGTCAAAAAACATATGACTTACTAGAAATCGCCTGTTATGCCAAATGAGTGTGTACCGTTCCCCTCGGCCCAGGCTATGAAAAGAAAACTGTACTCGAATGTTCTCAAAAACCATTCAGGGGTTTTCAGAATTTTGATATACCGTGGATAACTGATATAATTACGGGTACTCTGCGCCTTATCTCATCAAAATCGGTTGAGTAATAAATAAATTATGAATAAAAAACATACCTGAATCGGGTGAAAAATCGGCGTGTTCCGTACCCGAAAAGTCACGTGGTATGGCCACATTGTATATGGTTTTCAGTTCATCTTCGCTGTCATCAGCGAGTTTTATAGTAAAGTAATACAGAGTTCTGATTCTATGATTTCCTGGAAACACCTATTGAAACTTAAGCTTTCATACTCTAACATGGTCTCAGTGCAATTCTTTGTCATTTATATAAACATTTGTGCAAACGTACTATTTGACGAGGCTTCACCGCCTCTGCTAAATTTTGGTTCTAACCAAAACAATTTAGTACAAAACGACCGCTGAAACGTCGGCATTGCATCGCACTTTCACAAACCAACCACATTGGTATTGTTATTGTATGCAGCCTATATACTTGATTACAACATAGTCGTGACAATAACAACGTAAGTGTTATTACGTAACTTTAGAATGAAATTCTTCAAACCTCGACTTAATTCCTCTTTAGTTAAGAAGTGAATACACAAAAAAAACTGGACAATTATGTTTCACTTTGTAAAGCAGTCGTCTATTGTCTTTTAATATCATGTGCAGGAGAGTTGTAATTTGAGGACAAGTTTTCTGTCCATGAAAAACAATTTCAAATGGCGATATTAACCGTCATTAAAGCATATCATGCCATTCGTTTTTTAAAGAAACAATTTACATGTGTCGTTGGTTTAAACCCCATGGGTAGCAATCTCTTTTTGGAAGACAATGGTTGCTATGAAGATCACTGGTCACTAATGAAAGTCAATGGATGCTTTGGAAAGTCAATAGTTGCTTAGGCAGTAATTGATTGCTATGTAGTCAAAGGTTAAAAAGGAAAGTCAAAGGTTGCTAAGGAAAGTCACTACATGTATGCTATAGAAGCCACTTGTTACTAAGGAGTCAATGGCTGCTATAGAAGTCAATGTTGCTATGGAAAGTCATCAGTTGCTATGGAACTTACTGGTTGCTACGGTAATTGGTTGCTGTGGAAATCACTGGTTGCTATGGAAAGTCAACAGCTGCTATGAAAGTCACTCCTTGCTACAGAAAGACAATAGTTACAATTGGAACGTCAAAGGTTGCTATGGGAAGTAAATGGTTGCTATGGATAGAACAGGTTGCTAAGGTAAATCCATGTTCCTACTAGATTATGTTATGTGTGGGTGACAAAATAATGGCAGATATAAATTATTTTTATTTGTCCAATATTTGATACATAATTGTCTTTTAGCTTCAATCGTTTAAACTCATCTAAACATGACGTGGCCATGTATGATGTAGAGCCATTGCTAGAGTGTGAATGCATCAGCAAATTCCTAACCTGCAAGAAACTAGTTTAATTTATAATTTGTAAATCTTGGGCCTCAGTATTTCTTGTTAATCTTTGTCTTAAATATTTCTTGTAGATCTTAGTGTTACTTGTAGTTGTTGGTATTTCTTATGGGTCTTGGTATTTCTTGAAGTTTTCAGTTTTTTCGTGCATTTTTGGAATTTCATATTTATCTCAATATTTCTTGTAGATCTTGGTATCTCTCTTGCAGAAAATGCTTTCTCTTGTAGGTCTTTGTTTTTCTTACAGATCTTGGTTTTTCTTGTTTAACTCAGTATTTCTTGAAGATCTCAGTATTTCCTGTAAATCTCATAATTATCATAATTCCTTTATTTCATATAGATCTTTGTATTTCTTATAGATCTTGGTTTTTCTTGTGTATCTCAGTATTTCTTGAAGATCTTGTATTTTCTGTATCATATTCCTTGTAGATATTGAAATTTATGTAGATCATTGTATTACAGTTACCTGTAGGTCTATACCTTTTGAAAGAGCTCAATATTTCTTGAAGCTTAATCAACATTAAATTTACTTCAATAAATATAAATACTTACATGTATGTTTCTTAAATTCACATACATGTAGTTTTGCTACTAAACATATAAAAAATAAAATCAAATAAAAACAGCATTCTTAACTGTAACAATTTAATCTTTCAATCACATGTAAAACTTTAAATCTTTGACAATTTGGTTCATCATTTCTTACAAAAATGAATCAGCACTTGGATTTACATGTATTAGCAACATAATCATATCATCAGAACTTAGATTCTGTACTGTTATCATTTAACCATAAATTTAAGTTGTTTAGAAAACATACAGTAAAACACACACAAATACAAAAGTTTTTCTCAAACCACTGAGCAGCAGAACAAATTTCTTCAAATATGACAAATTCAAGGTCCCCTGTGTGGGTAAATGAATGATTCAAATTGTTGTTAAAATGTGATTCCCTCATTGTTAATGATGCAAGAAAATCCCTTTTATACCAGAACTAAAAAAATAAAACATTACACACTAATGAATGAGAAAAGAACACATATGGAATACAACATTTTTGGCAACCTCCGTCATCTTTCTGCACTAAGAGTGGAGTCTACAGCCTCAGGTTCACTGCTGTCTTCTGTATAAAGATCTTCTGACTCATATTTCAGTTCTTCCATCTGTTCTACAAGGAAATCTCTATTCTCTTTTAATCTGGAAAACAATCAGAAACAATTAATCAGCTGTTGTTTTATGGCCAAATGTCTGTTGTCATAATAAATTTCAAATTTATAACTGTAAATTCTTTTATTCCATTTTGTTGGGTTTTATGTCGCACCAAACACAGTGCAAGTCATTGGCACCTTTCTAGCTTTGATGGTCGAGGGAGACCTCAGGTGCCCTTCCGAGCATTATTTTTTAAGGCACAAACAGGCAATTGAAAAGAACCACAGACGTTCCGTTAGCTAGCTGGATAGCAATATTTCACATGAAAGAATCCAAGTCCCTGTCAGGATTTGAACCCCAAATGGTGAGGGGCAAGTGGTTTGAAGTCAACAGCTTTAACCACTCGGCGACAGAACCCCTTAGCCTTTATTATTATAAGTGTAAAGAAGAATTATTTTGATGGGGGCAACTAGCAGTGGCAAACATGAAATCATCAGATACAATTGCAATATTTTCTATAAACCAGTCAACAAACAGACATATATCAAGTCTACCACTTTGACTGTAAACAAAACAAAATAGGAAATGACATACTCCTGATTATATACCCAAGCACATATTAGAAAGATTCATGTAAAGAACCTAAGAATGCTACTAGAACATAATAGAGTGAATATGTATTGTACATACTGTTCTTTAATATCATCCACCTCAGATTGAGCTGTATCACTATTTTCACTTTGAAGCTTCTGTCGACATAGTTGCAACTTGGCAGTCTGAAAGGTAAAAATACATGTAGTATATGTTTTAAGTACAAACAAGGCACATTTTAAATTATTGTGAACATTCTTGAATTTTTATAATTTTATCTACAATGTCATATTACAATATCATGTCAAAATGATGCTTCTCTCCAGAGGTACTATATTTATATCCAGACATGACTAGCTGATATAAAATAAAGATTTTAGGGACAAAGCTATCAGGAATCAGCTATCAGACCATCAGGGATGACATTAACAACATATATTCTCACCTAATACATGGATTGCTTATTAATTGAACTTCTTACAACTTCAGGGATTTAGCAGCAATTCAAGATTTGTCACACTAAGAAATAATTACATCAAATACTGATTTTAGTGTAAGCAGGCAATGAATGCATCATTTTGTTATATAAAAGATTTCTTTGCTGTAAATATTCTCCACTTGATTTTTTTTTGGAAGGGTGGGGGGTGGTGGCCTGTGATAATCTGGCCTGTACCTTCATAAAGGCTGAAAACCCAAACACAGCCTAAAACCTAAAAAAGTTATTTTGCAGAGTGCATATCGAAGCAGTGATGTGTAAACAAAATAGCAAGAAAAAACAACAGGGATAAAATTCATAGGTATAAAATAAAAATTGAAATAATACAAACACTAAGGATAAATTCACAAAATGTACATATAATTATATAAGGTCCTGTAACTCAATTTTTTCATAGTTTTAAATCATAAATATGATGCTCAAATTAAGATTTATCAATATTTTAGGTTCCAAAAAGCATTATTTATAAAGATATTACCGAATTTAACATTTCATGAAAATAAAGGGAGGTAATTAGAAATTAATTTTCTATAAATTTAAGAAGAAATAAATGCACATATATTTTTATGATTATATATAATATGCACAATATTTGCAGTTCATATTTTACATATTCTTTGATGTTTGAAAATTGTTTTATATAATTATTAGCATAACTATATACATATATATAATTTCACTTAATGTGGTTAACCACTTTTGCCAGCTCGCATAGCTTAATCGGTTACAGCGCGAGACTGGTAATCTTGACATTGTGGGTTCGATTCCTGGGCTGGCCAACTAAAATTACTAATCAGTCTTTCTTATGAGACTTTAAATCGACGTCCAGTGTATGAGTGCTTTAACACTTGGCACGCTGAAGAACCAGGAGAAGCTTCTGGAATAGGGGCATCTTTCTGTATCTGTATTTTGCACTATCCTCCAAAAATCTAAAATGACTAATACTCTTCTGGAGGACTTGCCCATATGGGCAACTGGTGGCGAGTATAAATAAACTCAAATACACAAAAAAGTTAACCACTTTAATCACAACATACAGGATCTTTAAACATAAACTCACAAGTTCAAGCTTTGTTTTTTCTGCATCTTGAATCTTGCCGATTATTTCTGATATTGGTAATAGATTATTCCATTCAGCAAATGTAGATTTGATGGAAAGAATGTCTGTTGAGATTTTATTGAACGTCTCTGTGATCTCACTGACTAATTGTCTGTATAATGGAAAGTTGTAATTGGGAGCACCTTTCAGGTAAGCTTGGAAACCTCTGAAATATTGAAGAACTTCAATCAAAATATATTCAACATAAAAACATCAGAAGGAAACAACAACCTTTCCAAAATATAATTACACTGGTCTGTCGAAGGTCATTTCATGTATGTGAAGCTCTGTCAAATAACGTAGGCCTAGGCTTCATGTTATAAGAAAGAGATGGTTAAGAATAAAATTGTCCACAAATAGACAAATGGACTGGACATGAACAAGATGCCCAATTTATTGAATCTGATTATACTAAAAAACAATATGAAATATTTAATGTCTGATTAATAAATAAGATTAAATAATAATAAGATTAACAAGCAAATTCGTTGAATTTATATCCCCCGCCGAGTACTGGTTATTATTAACACAACAACTGAAGACATAAGGCTTTATTTATATATTAATCATGGCATAAACAGTAATATTCTTTGAACTTGATAAATATTCAGGGCAATAACAGAGCCATAACTTTGTGTTAAATAGTAAAATCTGGAAATGCCAATGAGATGTATGCATACTACATAACTAATCAAGGGCCATAAATCTGAGTTATAAGTATCTGATTGGAACAAGGCGACTATATGCACATCTCCTCAGAGTATCCCATAAAGTTTCATTGAATTCCAGCCAGTAGTAGCGAGAAGTAGCGAGGAAACAAATATTTTTCTATATGGATATTGCATAACTAATCAAGGGCCATAACTCTGAGTTAAAGTGTCTGACCGGAACAAGCCGACGATATGCGCATCTCCTCTTGGTAGTGAAGGTTCCCATAAAGTTTCGTTGAATTCCAGCCAGTAGTTGCAGAGAAGTAGCGCGGAAACGATTTTTACTCCATATGGATACTGCATAACTAATCAAGGGCCATAACTCTGAGTTAAAGTGTCTGACCGGAACAAGCGGACGATATGCGCATCTCCTCTTGGTATTGAAGGTTCCCATAAAGTTTCGTTGAATTCCAGCCAGTAGTTGCAGAGAAGTAGTGTGGAAATGATTTTTACTCTATATGCATACTACATAACTAATCATGGGCAAAACTCTGAGTTAAAGGGTCTGACTGGAACAAGCCGACGATATGCGCATCTTCTCTTGATATTGATGATTCCCATAAAGTTTCGTTGAATTCCAGCCAGTAGTTGCAGAGAACTACTCCGGAAACGATTTTTACTCCATATGCATATTGCATAACTATTCAAGAGCCATAACTTTGAGTTAAAGCGTCTGACCGGAACAAGCCGATGATATGCGCATCTCCTCTTGGTATTGAAGGTTCCCATAAAGTTTCGTTGAATTCCAGCCAGTAGTTGCAGAGAAGTAGCGCGGAAACGATTTTTACTCCATATGCATACTGCATAACTAATCAAGGGCCATAACTCTGAGTTTAAGTGTCTGACCGGAACAAGCCGACGATATGCGCATCTCCTCTTGGTATTGATGATTCCCATAAAGTTTCGTTGAATTTCAGCCAGTAGTTGAAGAGAAGTAGTGCGGAAATGATTTTTACTCTATATGCATACTACATAACTAATCAAGGGCCATAACCTTGAGTTAAAGGGTCTGACCGGAACAAGCCGACGTTATGCGCATCTCCTCTTGATATTGATGATTCCCATAAAGTTTCGTTAAATTCCAGCCAGTAGTTGCAGAGAACTACACCGGAAACGAAATTCGGACGGACGGAAGGACGGACGGAAGAACGGACGTTCTCACAGGACAGTAATTATGTGGCTACTCTATTGTTCTCTCTATTGTTCTTTTTAGCCACGCAAAAGAAAATAGCCACATAAAAGCATTACGGAATGAATGACATCAAAGAGAAAGAACAGTTACCTATTGTCCCTCTAGCCACATAATTACTCTCCTGTGAGTGCGGACGGACGGAAGAACGGACGGACAACGCCAAAACTATATCCCCCTCCCGATTCCATCGGCAGGGGATAATAAATGCAAATATATGAAGTAAAGACACTCCTGTTGAAAGCCATCCTGATTAGCTCAACAGAAAGTGTGTATTGTTTACGGTACACAGATGTTTTCCTAAGAGCCTTTGTGGCCGCACATTTTTGGTTGAAAGCAATGACTGTAATGCCATTCTCGTTCTCCATCTCTGATTCAATTATTATCTACAGTATTTAATTGGCTGTAGCTTATTTACATTGCAGAAATACAGACTGGTTAACTACCAGCCATGGGCCATAAGTATTTTGATTAAATGCCTTCAAATTTGTACAAAACATGCACAACCAACCAACCAAACTTCTGGTTAACTCTCGACAAAGTGATTAAGTCGCAGCGTGGCCTAATGGTTAATGCATCAAACTAGTATAATCTAAGATTGCTGACTGTGTGGGTTCAAACCCTGTCAGCAGCAAGCTGTTGTTTCCTCTAGCAAGAAACTTTAAATTCATTGCTTAGTACTGGTTGGTTTCCAGGAACGGAATTTCGAGAGTGTTTCAATAAGCTTATAGCTTCCAACACAATCAAACTTACATAAATTTGTATAAACTTAACTTCTGGTTAAAATTTTGTAGCAATTCTAACATAACAAAATATGATTAACTCACTCTTCAAACATTGAATAAGTCTGTACCCTTTCCTCTTGTAGAGAATAAAACCTTGACAACATCTGTTTGGGTGTATCATCTCTGGTCTCATTAGTGCTTGAACTATTGCTATTAATTTCGGCTGTGCTTAGCTCACCCATTCTACACTTAATTTTCCTGAAAAATGTTTAAAACAGTCATTAAAATGATTGCATCTGTAATTACAGGACACATACATATATTAAAGTAACATCTTTCAATTAGTGTATCACATAATACAATGTTGACTATTAGAAAATTAAAATACTATGTGTAAAAATTGATATATAAATTGTATACATGATGTCAATATGAAACTGTTATATTAGTTATAAAAAAGAAAAGAAATTACAAATTGTACTGGCAAGTCTCATTGAAAAAGGGGCTATTTTGGATTGAAAATAGGGCCTTATATTGGCCCCTGGTGATAGGGTGAAAATGCCCATGGCATGCCCATTTCTTAGCCATTTTGGGAAAAAGTACCTAACCCAGTTTGTGAAATTTTGTGTCAAAATTACTGAATTGGGAAATATATCTGGAATTTGGGAATGGGTTTGGTAATCTAACCTGTGGTGACACTGGAAAAGGCATGTGACCTAATCGAATTAGACACTACAGCTTGAGCTAGTGTTTCCAAATTTATGAGGTGTGATATTTAAATTTTTATTAAATTCCTGAGACTTGTCTTGTGTCTCTCAATGTAGATACACATTAACCCTTTACCTCATATATATGCGAAACAATGCACTTTCAACCCCCCCCTTTAGCCTAAAGTGAAATTCAGGGGAGTTGCCAGAAGTGGGTAAGTGCCCCCTTCGTATATCAGGGGGTTTGTAGGAGGGGCAGTCCCCTTCGTAAAGAGTTTTGGACTTGTGAGAGGCTAAAAATGGCCCCAGGTCAATTATAAGGTAACGTGTAACCAACACTGAAAAGCCTTTGACTCTATCTGAATCCACTGAAAAGTTGCAGCACTTTGAAATCAATTTTGATGGAATTAATCAACACAAAATAGTGATATTTGGCAATTTTGAGATGTCCCCTTGTTGCCATGGTAACAGGAAATTTAAGACTGAACATGTATAGTTACAAAGGCAATGGTCCAGTCAGATAAGTATATGTATATTAATATACGTACTTGGTCCAGCCAACATTTGTGCCATGTTTGATTAGTATTGAAGCAGTTTTTATAGTTTTATAGCAATTTGAAATTGTAATAGGAGACTTTTCAATGAAAACAGGCATTTTTCACAAAATGCTCATGCAGTAATGGGTTAACTACATAACAGGCGCAACAAAAACTGGTACATATTTTATTTATAATATGGATCATCTCCTTTACAAGTACAAATTTTAAGTACATTTAGAGCATCTCACCAACCATACAATAAGTACATGTATAGACAAAATTAGCGATGTAATTAAAAATAGGAAGTGAAGTTTAAAATTTAAGTCATTCGGGCCAGTATTGCTAGCCAAAAACTGTGTATGTGTCTCACATACGGCTAGAGCTTTTGGCTAGCAATACCAGTACAAACATCTAGACACTGAATTAAATAAATCCTTTCCAAAAAAAATTAAGCATGAACATCTATGCGTTTCAGGTCACAAATTTTAAGATGTCGATTTTGGGAATTTTCCAATAATTAACACACATACTTATGCTACCTGTCTAACTATACAGTTCAGTGCAAATTTTCTGATCAAACTGATAAGGAGATGTATTAACAAAAGGACGAGTTGACCAAAAAGCTGAAGAGTTGACAAAGGTTCGAGAAAATCCAATGCGAATCAATAGTGGTACGAATCTATTATCAGTATAAAACTAAAATTCACAGCAAAATACTGTACAGAAAATAACATAACAATGTCCTCGTTTTATTTTTTTCGAATACCTTTGAAGTCATGTCAGCGTGAGATTAACTGAAACTTGTAAACTGAAAAACTCTGGAAAAACTAACCTTACGCTTGAGAATTATTCAGCAAAATCGAATGGTCAAATCAGAGAATTCCGCATGATTTGTTTACTACTAAATCGCAACTTTTCGGCCCTTAAGTAATGTTGAACGCCACTAAAAATACCCTGTCAGGGGAGGGGGCCAGGTGAGGATGTTCTTATTGTTTTTTTGTTTTTTTTTTTGTTTTTGTTTTTTTTAATACAGTAATGGTGGCATGTGGTGACATGTTTAACACATATTACGTATTAAGAAATATCTCAAAGAAAATCAAAGGACAGAAGGCGCTGATTTTTTTTTGGGTCTCAGAATGTCAGAAAGGTGAAGTTTGTGAGATTATAAACCAATATGTTTTTGTATAGTGCCACCAATGCTGTTTCCAGTGTTATAACTGAAGTAAATTTGCTATAAGGCTAATTGCAACACTGATTTTCAATTCAATGTTTATTTGGCTTAAACAATTTAAAAAACAAAACAAAAAAACAAAAACAAAAAAAACCATGAGTTGCCTTCACTGGGATTTATACCCTAGACCTCTCGCTTCCCAAACGAGCGTGTAAACCCTTCAACCATTGGGCAGTTATACGATAACAGCCTGAAGAAAACCATATTATTCTAAATTAGGCCGAATTGTAACCCTTATTAATTTCGAGATATTTTGTTCACGGTAAACCTGTTGTTTAACACTGATGTAAATAATCATGGAGCTTAATATAAGCATGTATATCTGTAAAGAATTACACAATATTAGAAATCTTCGACCAATCGGGAACTATTTTTTCTTCCCCGAGAAGGCTTGAAAATTAATGCGCCTGTCATTTGACAATCTTTACGCAGTGATCTCCCCTTAATTTTTCGGCGTTAGTGTACTTATAAAGGGAAGTAACCGCTTCGAGGAGTTCGGACTACTTTCGGATTTTGCAAATTAGCATATCAGAGTCTGAAATTTCGCTACCATTATTTATTTGGTCTGACGACCAAAACAAATAAAAACACACAAAAAAACCCCAACTTTTTTAAGCATAATCGAAGAGATAACACTTAAAAAAAATGATTCTAGTGTTGTGAACCTTGTCATACATGAAACAAACAATACTATCTTGCCTGATTATAAAGGCTCTTAGTGACAAGGAACATTTAATATTGTAAACCATATAATTATATAAGAAGGAATTAAATCTGCATCCGAATCGGTGCACATGCAAAAGTGTTACTGGTTGCTATTTCACCACCAAGTTGGATTTTGTGTCCTTATATAGGCCTATGGGAAACATTCTTATGTGTTAATTCAACAACTTTAGTTTTTTTGCTCATTATCAGTATTATGACGTTCTATCAATGTCGTTACATTACTTTCCTCTCCGAGAAGTCTCGTCCCGAGACTTGGCCTGGGAAATAATTGAGTTCAGCAACTCCAGTTCGGCAGTTGTCTACATCCCCACTGGCCACCAAATGTAACATTTAGGGCACACTAAACCCTCTCAGAGAAAAGCTAGCTCACCACCGAGAGGTTTATGCCCTTATATACGGGATACTTTCCTATAATTATGTTAATTCACCACATTTTGTTTTTGCCTGTTGTAGTGCTCATTTAGAGTTTTATGACGTTCTACCAACTTCGTTACCACCGTGTATATCCAGTAACGCAGGAATGTGCAAATAACGCAGGAATTGCAATGAAGAAACACAGAACTGTGCAATTTAATGGCTAAAACGACCACCGCGATAAGTAAATCAACTAATGTTTTTTATTGTACACCAAATTGGAAGCGTTAATGAAGTAGCGCATTACGGTTGCTGAGACATTATACTTCAAAAATAGTTCCATGAAATTGTTTATTTTTAAAGATCATTCATGAAAATAACGACATGAATAGCGTATTGATGGCGATTTTAAGTTTCGTTGATATCTTTAAATACAATAACGTACATATTACTTTATGATTTTTTATATTCGGTGTACCTGAGACATTTACAATCTACTTGTGTCATATTACACGTAACTTAGCAGATACAACGTAATTGAGACGATTTTTACGAGCTCGAGGTAACGCCGAATTCGTGAATGAAACATTGAAGCAACGGCGGTTTTCTCATTTAAAGTAGTTAAATCTTATTTTATCAGCTTCCTTCTATTGTTATACGACACTTAATTTTTGTAGTTTGACAAATGTCTTAGGTATACAGAATATGACAAAAAAAAATTTAAATGTGTTAAATGTGTATATAATTATTTGACGAAACACTCAAGTCACCTACAAAACGGTAATCAGGTTGTCTTTCTCACTAATGATATAAGAAAGTAAACAAATTCCTGAAAAAAAAATGAAATGCTGGTTAAAGTCTAATGTCATAGCAGCCGAATGCGCTAATTCATTTCTTTAAAATTGATTTGATTTAGAATAAAATATTTTGGTTCGTTTATTTACTGTGTTATTCGTTTTGACAATAGTGTTGCATAGATTCGGCGTTACTTTTACGTTAATTGAACATTTTTGCGTTACTGGATATGCACGGTGGTTACAGTTCCTATGAAAGTCGACAGAATAATCACTAGTTGCTAAGGAAGTCACTGGTTGCTACAGGAAGTTACTGGCTGCTATAAAAAGTCATTGATCCCTATGGAAAATCAATAGTTGATGTGTAATACAATGTTTGCTATCTAAAAATCAGTGGTGGCTATGGAAGTAACTGATTGCTTCGTAGAGTCATTGGTTGTTTTGGAAATCACTGATTACCATTAAAGTCATTGATTGCTAAGAAAAATCATTAACTGAGCACTATGGATTCAATCGTTTGCCCAGGACGGTCAATGCTTTAAGAAATCTTAATTGCTCAGCAAAAACAGAGGTTACTATGGAAGTCAGTGGTTGTTATGGAAAATCAGAGGTGGCTATGGAAGAAACTGATTGCTAAGGAAAGTCACTCGTTGCTATGATAATCCAAGCTGGAAGAAACAAAGTCAATGGTTGCAATAGAAGTCACTGGACTGTTGGTGAGTCAATAGTAAATGGAATGGTGAGTCAATTGTACAAATGTAAGTGGCTGGCAGCCATGGAAAGTCACTAGATGCTATGGAAAATTATTGGTTGCTATGGAAATTCAGTGGTTGATTTTTTGCGATGGAAAGTCAATGGTTGCTATGGAAACCCAATGGTTGCTATGAAGGTCATTTGGTGCTATGGAAAGTAAATGGTTGCTTTGAACAGTTACTAGTTGCTATGGAAAGTCAATGATTACTATAAAAAGTCTATGGTTGCTACAGAAGTAAATGGTTATAAGAAATGTAAATGGTTGCTTAGGAATGCCACTAGTTCTATGGAAGCCACTGAATGCTATAGAGTAAATGGTTGATAATGAAGTAAGTTGTTGCTAAGGGAGTCAGTGCTTGCTAATGGAAGTCAGCGGTTGCTACTGTGATCACTGGCTGCTACGGGAAGTCAGTAGCTGCTAAGGAAGTCAATGGTTGCTATGGAAGGTCAATTGTTGTTTTGGACGTCATTAGTTGCTAAGGGAAGTCGGAAAGTCAGCGTTGCTATTGAAAGTCAATGCTATGTAAATAGCTTGTTGCTAAGGAGTCACTTTTAAGATTGAAAGTCAATAATTGCTGTGTAAGTCAATGGGTTCTAACGAAATTTAATGGCTTCTATTGATCCATTTGACCTTAACAGTCAAGCTCATTTAAGAGTGAGTCACATTTGAATAAATCAACATGTCAGTTTTGTTTAAAGTGTTCTTTTGTATAAGAATGAATCAAATCAATAAATAAATAAGAAAGTTGCGACAATTAAAGCAAAATATATCAACATGTTGGTTTTGCCATATGCTTTCTTCTGTCTAAGTATGAATCTAATCTGTAAATAGGTAACAAAATTATGACAATTTAAGCAAATTTCAAAAATTTTGTCTCAAAGGTCAAGGCCAAATTTAGGTCAAAGTCATATCAGAGTAAGTCAATAAGGCCATTTTGTCATGTATTCTCTTGTTCAAGAATGAATCAAATCCATAAATAAACTAAGTTATGACAATTAAAGCGAAATTTCAATGATTTCATCTTAACGGTGAAGATCAAATAAAAGTCAAGGTCAAGTACATATAACCTTAGACATATTGGCGATTTAACTCCAGTTCCTTCCAGAACACATTTATTCGCACCTGGAATTCTCTTCCTGAAACACTTCGATCTAGTCCAACTTAAAGCTCATTCAAGTCCAAAATAACTCCGAATATCAAAAGACCACCATCTTACTATAATACAAAAACAAGTAAAGATTAAGATTAGGATGTAGCTCATTGAATGAGGATCTTTGTGGATAGCCCAACATGCACATGTGGAATGACAGAAACTGTATCTCATTTCTTATTGCAAAGTACCAAAAACAGAAATATACGTCAAAGATATCTCACTACTTTAAATTGTCCAGCTGCAGTATATAACCATCTTTACGGCAATGAACATCTCTCTTTTGATGAAAACAAAACCCTCTTTCAGAATGTCAAAAAATTCATTACACAGTCGAAGTGCTCTTTTGTGAATAAACTTGGCCTTTCTGTAGGCTCATATTTCTTTATATGTTAATCTTAAGTATTAAACTTCGATATATTCAATCATATCTTTCCTTAATTCTTCCTTTCTTCCAGCATTTCACCATAATTTACCTTAGTTTCTCTATAGTGATAATTCAACAATCAATTATTCTCTTATTCTTTGTTGTACATTCAATGAGCTTACATCTAACTGCAACTTTTTTGCATCTTTATCTTCAAAATAAATTACTTTTACTGGAGAGGAATTGATATAAGTATTGTTTTACTTGTTTTAAAATCCAGTCTGAATTACATTGTTATGCAATGTTTGTAAATGTCATTTTATGTACAATTTATTGAATAAATAAAGTTTAAACTAATTCCATAAATCAATTGTAGCAAAATTCACTTATTTGACCTTAAGTAATTTTTGTTGCGCACAAGTATGAAGACAAATATTACAAAATAATAGCCAATTATAGCTAAACAAGGGGGCCATTGGACCCAATGCGCTCACCTGAGTACTAAATGCAATTGATATACAAAAGTGAAGTTACCAGGTCTTAAAAATATACAAAACAAATAAATTTTTTTGTGTAAGTAAGAAGTTGATGTTTTAAGACAACACACCAAGAACTATAAAGTTATGATCAAGGTTAAAGTATGTGGATGGGAACAGTTTTTACTATATACATATAAGGAAAACCAATGACCCCGGGGCGGGGCCAATTTTGACCCTAGGGCTATAATTTGTACAATCTTGGTAGAGTTCCAATACACAATGGTTCATGCCAAATATCTAACCTCTAGCCTTTGTCAATTCAGAGGAGAAGGTTTTTTAAGTTTTTACTATATACATATAAGGAAAACCTATAACCCCCTGGGGCAGGGCCAGTTTTGACCCCAGGGCTATAATTTGAACAACTTTGGTAGAGGACCTATAGGTGTTATTATATACCAAATATCAAAGCTCTAGGCCTTGTACTTTTAGACAGGAAGATTTTTTAAGTTTGCATTTTTTAAGTTTGCATTTTTTAAACTCCTTTTCTAGCCCTGTGACCTACTTATGCAACAGACTGGAACCATTTGAACAACTTTGGCAGGGGACCACCCAAGGATCATTCCTGTAAAGTTTGGTTACTGTGCAGTCATTGGTTTTTGAGGAGATGTTGTTTAAAGAAATTGTTGATGATGCACGACGACGGACGGTGGGGGATCACAATAGCTCACCATGAGCCAAAAAAATTTGTGAAATTATAATAATTTGACCTTCAAGGGCAAGGTCATTTAGGAATCAGAGTTTGATATTCTTTCCTTAAGGAAACTTTCTTTTAACTAAAATAAATTAAAGCAACATTCATTTTATTTTTTTTACCAAATAATTTATTTCAATTTCACCAAAACTTCAAACAGACTTTCTTTTTGTAAAGAATATATGTAACACACGATAAAATAAACATGTAACCAGTCAAAATAATCATGGCAACTGTGTGAGGCTGGTATATAGTTCTAACTGACATATTGACTAAACCAGTCAGAAGATTGGCAAACAGGAAGTAGAACAGTCCATTGTAATTTATAGCAGATACAAGATCACATGTGTTGTATACATCTGTAACAGCAGTTTCCTGGTTTGGTTTGTAATCTGGAGATTCTGGAAAAAAGTTAAAAAACTGTCTGAAAATTTGTTTAAACCATATCTAGCTCTAAATTCTTTAATCTACTTTACAAGCTTTTATTTTTGGAAATGTTGATCATCAGTTTTGTACTTGTAGTAAAGGCTGATCACTTTCAGTTCCAGCAAGGGCTATCAGAGATTTGATTTGTGTCAACTTATGTATCAATAAATGCTTTCTTTACTTGTTAGCACTTGTGAGGAAAATAAAAGAAATTAAAACTACCAAGTTAGATTGTAATGGTAGGAATTTTATTTTTCCATTTGTAGTACTTTTTAAAGGAGCTGCAATTAGTACCTCAACTTTAATTTGAGAAAGCTTTGACTTTACATTTATTAAGCAAATGTTGTACATTTACAATGTATATGTAATACAGTGATGAGTTTGTTATTTTTAAAACAAGTAAATAATTTTTTGTTCTGTTTTGTAATACAGAAAGATATTTTTAATCCCAGGTAAAATGCAACAGAAAAGATTCTTTAGTTTTTGAAGTTGACCATACTCGCCATTATAGGCAACAAATTGGATGAAACATTCGTTCCAATAATATATGGCTTGAAACATTCATTCCTATAATGTATGGCCTCAAAAATTCATTTCTATTTTAATATACAGTGAAAGTTGAGAAAACCAGACGGCTTTCGGACCGAGGGTTTTGTCCGGTTTTCTCAGCGGTCCAGTATTCTCAATGTCCCCTTCAGCTGTTTAGGATCCTATAAACCGAGCAATGACTTACAAAAGATGCTGAACATATATTTGCATTTTAAAGATCATGAGTAAGTATATTGCTAAATAAAGAAATGATAAAAATACTATACAATATGTTCGAATTGTTTTGTCCCATTTTTGCATATAAATACAATAAAATTCTGGATTTAAAGGAACATCAGTTTCCTCATAACGATAAAGTCTGTTTACACCCGCATATGTTTACATTTGGGTAAGGGATAATGATTTAACAAACATCGTTTACTTTGTTTGTTTATAATAATGCCCCAATTGTAAATATTGCCTATACCATAATTGTCAGATAAATACTTTTACAGTAGGTCTCGGCAAAGTTTCACTGTCTTTAATTAATTTAAATTTGTCATTTATAGACAGCTCTCGTCAAATTCTTTTAGGCCATGGAATAGAACTTAGTGCTGATAAATGTCGTTTCCGTTGCGTTGTCATTATAGGAAATTAATATACAAAAAGCAATGCAGTATAATTATACTCTATTTTTCATTCATACTGATTTTAACTTATCAATTCCTTGTGCATTTTGGCATTTATATAAAACGGTAACATCTATACCTTACATTAAATCAAACTGTGAAAAGGGACATAATTAACAAATCAGACAATCATTGTTCCGTTACAGCTCAGTTAGCATATTAGACACAACCAATTGATAAGTACACAAGGTTATTCACACCTTCGTCGTCCGGTATTATCAGGGTAAGTGTCTATATAATTGACTTGTAGTCCACTTTCAACCGTCCGATATTCGGTTTTTACAGATTCTGGTATTGTCAATGTTAAATAAAATAGTTTAAAGAAGGGAAAATTTGGGACTGAATTATTCCTCCAGTGTTTAGAGAGTTCCGATTTTCTCAGCGTCCGGTTTTCTCAAAGTTCACTGTATCAAGTATAATAGAGGTAGATAACATTAAGAAACAAATGTTTACAATAGCAATCTGTTATACCTTTTTTGTTGGCAACATTACAGAGATGAGTAAGGCATGTAACAGCTATATCAAACACCAGAAATAACAACATCAACATACTGTTAAAAGCAATCTGAAATAGATAAATATGTTTGATTTTATATAGTGATTACGTAAATTTCATCCAAAATTATTAATTAAGTTGGAAATTACCAATTTACTGTTCATGATTAAGGTTCATGTAACAGGTAATAGTCTATATAAGCTGATTATGGATTATTTTTGGCACTTGATTTCAAAGAATGACTTCAACTTTTTGACCTTCACACAAACTTCTTTTGCACATATTTCCTCATCAGGATGAACAGTTGTGACAACTTATTATATTACCTTCATCAGATCAAATGGCCAACTTTGTCTTAAACCTGTTCTTTTATACAATTTGTTTTCTTCCCAATAGTTTCCTAAATTGCACTTTTTTAAAGTTTTTTTTCATTATCTTTTTTCAGCTGCTAAAATATGTTTGTGTAGAACATACATATAAATTGCTTAAAAATAATCTTCAATAAAAGAAAAAAATCCATAAAAGTATTGACAAAGTCTAATATTTTATGAAATTTAAATGAAATGTTTCAGTGTAAATTCTTAATACATTCATTTATAAAGGTGTGATAGTAAAAAGTTAAAGTGATCTTTGTTAACATACCATCCACAGTAGGTATGCTAAGTTAGCAAATCTCCGGGAAACTGGCTCCACATATTTGCCAGCAAAATACATGAGCAACCAACATACCCCACTAACAAGGAAAAGAGAGAAACATAACTTCATCCAGTCTCTCACGCATTCTCTGAAATAGTTAGAAGGGTACATTACAATCCTTCACTGGTACAGTAGTGTTTCATGCAAGATTTAAAGTGTTTTAATCTACTGTTAAAAGTACCAGAATAAATTTCAAATTTTTCATTATATTTCAAATTGAAGTTTAACTTTTTTTAATAATTTACAACTTTGTTTTCATAAGTGTAAAATGAAATTATTATTTCTGACTAAAAAATAACTAGAAATGTGTCATCATGCCACGGATGCCCCCGCATGCAGCCAAAATTTCAGATGGTGCATTAATTATTTTTTTCATTTTAAGTTCAAAGCCCTTAAAACTTTTCAATGTTAACACAAACCATTTCCATACAATGTTCAAGGCACTGAAATTATTCAGTCTTAACCTTTTAGAAATAGCATATTGCATATTTGCAGCCAAAATAATGGCTAAAAGAATGAGTGGTGAAACTGAAAGTTCAAAATTTTTCCAACATTCAGGAAAGATAAGTTTGTCTAAAATCATTGAACCATGACCAAATTAAAACTTAAACTGCTTATTCCTAAGATGTATCTATATTATTTTCAAAGTGAAAGAGACAAACTCTGCCAAAAAATCATCAAACCATGACCAAATTCCAACTTGACCTGCCCATTCCTTTGACATATCCATATGTCAAATTAAAGTTGAATATGTGACACTGTTGGGTAGATAATGAACAGAAACTGTAAATTTCATATTATTTTCAAAGTGAAAGGGGCATTACTCTGCCAAAAATCATTGAACCATGACCAAATTTGAAGTTGACCTGAGCATTCCAAAAACATTTCCATATGTCAAATTTGAGTTGAATGTGTTGTACCATTGGGAAGATAATAAACGGAAACTGAAAATTTCATATTACTTTCAAAGTGAAAGGGGCATAACTCTGCCAAAATCATTGAACCATGACCAAATTTGAACTTGACCTGCGCATTCCTTTGACGCATCCATATGTCACGTTTGAGTTGAATGTGTTGTACCTTGAGGGAGATAATGAATGGAAACTGAAAATTTCATATTATTTTCAAAGTAAAAGGGGCATAACTCTGCCAAAAATCATCGAACCATGACCAAATTCGAACTTGACCTGTATTTTTTCATGACATATCAATATGTCAAGTTTGAGTTGATTGTGTTGTACCATTGGGGAGATAATGAACGGAAACTGAAAATTTCATATTTTTTTCAAAGTAAAAGGGGCATAACTCTGCCAAAAATCATTGAACCATAACCAAATTCGAACTTGACCTGTATTTTCTCATGACATATCCATATGTCAAGTTTGAATTGAATGTGTCCAACCGTTCTTAAGATAATGAACGGAAACTGAAATTTCATATTATTTTTAAAGTAAAAGGGGCATAACTCTGCCAAAAATCATCGAACCATGACCAAATTCGAACTTGACCTGTATTTTCTCATGACATATCCATATGTCAAATTTGAGTTGAATATGCCCAACCGTTCTTAAGATAATGAACGGAAACTGATGATGACGGAATGACAGAATGACGGAAGGACGGAAGGACGGAAGGATGGAAGGACGGAAGGACGGAAGGACGGAAGGACGGAATGACGGAACAGGGTAACACTATATGCCCCGGCCATTACATGGCGGGGGCATAAAAAGAAAATTTCCAAAACGACAAAAATTGCATATGAATGAGACTACATTGGAAGAGCACTAGACAATGATTTTAGATTCAAAAGTGTGATTCTGATTCTCACACTGGAATTTGGATGAAGACAGATAAGAAGAAGTGAGCACTTTACTGACATTAATGAAATGAGTCATAACAATCCTAGAATAGTTAATGCTCTTTTGCATAAGACACAATTTTTGTACATCTCACTGTGTGACTGTGTCATACAAACTTACTTAACTCACAAGTACAAATTTACATCATACATACCAGTAACAAATAACTGCTCACCTTTTTTTCATGACAAGTTTTCCCAGCTGAACACCCATTATATAGATACTTAGGAAGCCGACACTTGAGTACAGCCCCTCTCTGTTAGCATCTATTAGATCTGTACGGCCTCCTTTACCATCTGCTCCTTTTATAATATAATCCTTCAAGTCACCATAGGTCAAATTGTGCTGTAGAAAATATGAAATAAAACTTTTAATAAGGTTATAATATTATTAAACCATTGTAATTTTAATTTATACAAATTTATTTTAGTTTGATTATGTTGTAAGCTATAAACTTATTGAAACACTCTAGAATCTGTCCCTAGACCAAACCAGTACTAAACAATGAATGAGAAGTTTCTTGCTCAATGAAGCAACTGCTTGCCCCTGACAGGTTTTAAACCCACTCTGTCAGAAATCCTTAGATTACTAGTCTGACGCATTAACCACTCTGCCATGCCGCCATTGTTATTTTGCTGAGCATTTTGTATTATATTTTTGTCGATAAAATCTTACAAAATTGCTAGGTTTTGGTCAAATGATAATATCTTACAAGTCTTTACTAGTTTAAATGGGAGAACAATCAGAATCAGACTTTTTGTCATACCCTGCCGCAGACCACTTACCTATCCAGTTTTATTTAAACATAGTTCAGGCATGTACATGTAAGATCTAAAATTGTTTGTGGATTTAATTCACATTAGTTGTAACCTATATTTCTGCAAATAACTGGTTATGTTCTCATACTAAATCATTTAATACAGCAATATTTGACTATTAAATAATAGTTAAATGATCTAGTATTATTTTTGTCAACAAAAACACCTATGCTGTGACCATAGTTTAAACTATAAATCTATTGACTTAATGCTCAGTCTAACTAATGAATTTACTAGGATGGCACTGAAAGTCACTGTAAGGCAGTAAGCTTTAAGAAGTTACAATGCTTTAGAACAATGAGCTGAAGACTCAATTCAGTTGTCAGTTGTTATTATAGTTATTCTTATGGTTTTGAATGACTGTTACAATAAAAAAACCTTCTTTCAAATTGAGAATTAACAAGATGATTTTGTATCTTTTGTAAATTTTAAGCTTTTTAATATCATAATAAAACAAGTATCTGACATTTTGTTAAAAGTATCTCACATTTAGTTGTCATATTTTATATACATCATACTCATCCTAGTAAGTGTATATGTAATGACTAGCAGTATAAGATTTTGAATATTATACATCATGAGAGCTATCATTTAGATTATCATCATGAAATTGCTACTTACCTGATATACTGCTATGATTAACACAGCTATGATGTTCCATAACCGTGGTGATACTATACAAAACAACAGTGTACAACCTATCTGTAAATATAATTATAGTTAACAGATAATTTATTAGTAAGTGAATAATTTCTCTATAAATCAAAGGGCTGTGGTATTTTCTGATCTTTGCAATCTAAATCATACTGACTGTATGTATGTATTTTCCTGTATAAATTTATTTTTATATACTATAATTCATCTTACGCAGCGACTGCGTTTAGATTTTTTTCTTAACAGTTTGAGATTGATACATATGGAATTTTGCATGACTAGAGTTGCATCAAAAAATCATTTTTCATTTTGTATGTCAGACAGCCACACATTATCCTTGCATATCGTGGCTACTTCCTTAAAAAAGACACTTAAAAAAAAGTTGCCTCGACTAGGATTTGAACCTTAGGCCTCTCACACCCTAAACGAGCGCGCTACCTCTGCACAACGGTGAAGTAATACCTATATAGCTTGAATAACAAGCAATTATCATAGTATTGCAAGCAATCCATAAGTCCACTACCGGTTAGAACCCCATCAACATTCTGAAGGGCCATTGGCCATTCACTAATGTTTCAATTTTTCTCTATTTTAAGTAAACTTGTTGGAAAAGTTCTTTAAAAGTGATCACAGGAAACAGTTTTTATGAACAGAAAGACAGACGGACTGAAGGACACTCTAAAGTTAATATTTAAAACATCCCTGTTACCAAAATATAACATTTTAAAAGCAAAATTCTTAAAGCGGAGATAACTCTTGAATTAAAGATGCAATTTCATAAAAATTTTCAGCTCTTTTTGACTAATCACAAATATTGTTATATTTGCCATGTTTTAAGCCTATTTGTTGCCAAGGCAACTGATATTTTTTCAAAATAGGAAGAACAGATAAGACATGCATAATCTCAAGACTGCTATCTACCCATATGTCAAGTTTCATTAAAATATTTCCAGTATTTTTTCAGTGGATTCAGTTTATGTGTAAAATTTGCCATATTTTCAGTCTATGTGTTGCCATAGCAACCAGAATTCTCAACATAGGAAGAAAAGAAAAAGACTTGCATAATCTCAAGACTGCCATCTACCCATAATTATGTCAAGTTTCATAAAAATATTTCCAGTACTTTTTGCTTTATCACTGGATCCAGTTTATGTGTAAAATTTGCCATATTTTCAGCCTATTTGTTGCCATAGCAACCAGAATTTTCAACATAGGAAGAAAAGAAAAAGACGTGCATAATCCCAAGACTGCCATCTACCCATATGTCAAGTTTCATAAATATATTTAAAGTACTTTTTGCGTTATCACTGGATCCAGTTTATGTGTAAAATTTGCCATATTTTCAGCCTATTTGTTGCCATAGCAACCAGAATTTTCAACATAGGAAGAAAAGAAAAAGACGTGCATAATCTCCATACTGCCATCTATCCATATACCAAGTTTCATAAAAATATCTTCAGTACTTTTCAAGTTATCGCGGGATCCAGTTTTGTGGACGGACTGACAGACGGACAGACAGACGGACGGACGGACTTACTTAGCAGACGTGTTTGTGGGGTTATTCCTTTGATCTCTTAACCCCACAAGAGCAAATTTTTTTAACCCCATAAGAGCATTTTTAACCACATAATACATGTCTCTACGGAATGAACCCCATACAGAGTGCCTGTACATAAACCTAAACCTCATAATGTAGCTCTCGTCTGCTCGGACAGACGGATGGACAGACGGACGGAGGGTAAACCTAAAGTCCCCTCCGGTAAACCGGTAGGGGACTAAAAACAAATACATTGTAATTCTAAATTGAGAATTTGTAATCCTTATTAATTTCGAGGTATTTTGTTCACAATAAACCTGTTGTTTAACACTGATGAAAATAATTTAGCGAAAATCTTCTCGCCGAAACAGTCCGACATGTATATATTCCACTACTCGACAGTCAGATTTATTTGTGTACTACGCTCTGGAGTATTCGGTAATCGACATAGCTAAAAATAGCATTTTCATTGATTAAGCTTTACGGAAATAGCCGAACATTTTTCATTGGGTAAAAAAGATATTCATCCGCGAAATTTGTGATTATAACCTCATATTTCTATTGACTAATCTAAACTTTTAATGTATTGTAATTCGGTAATTGCCTACATTAAACATTATTCCTTCTTTTAAATTGCTGGTTTTTAAGCAGTTTTGAGTGAGAACTACTTTGCGTTGTTAGGTCTGTAAGGAAATTTTGTGTTGGACCGTGGATGTTAGCTTTGTATTTACTGATCTTGCGATCAGAAAATACAAAAATGATAAAGGATATCGAGATTGATGGCTTTATTAACCCTTACATTGTTGGAACAAAAAGCCTAGCCTTTGCAATCAGTTTACACACGGGCCAGCCAGTACATCTGTGCCATCTAACCAGATTTTATACTGTTGGTAGCTCAACTTTTGTATTTTAATATTAAAATCTCTAAAACAGTTATGAATAACCATTCCTATTCAAAGCTGGGCAAATCAATTGCAGTGATGGAGCAGGTTATGTGTTAACTAAACACAGGAAAAATATGCACAATGCCATTCTTTCCTGAAATCTTTAAAACCACACCTTTTGAAAAAAAGTTAATTAAAGTTTATTAAAAATTACTTAACTGTATGAATATATTTTTCAAACAAATTTCTATGCTGATGTTATTTAAGAGCTCACAATCCAAATAAACAAAAAGAAGAACTTTTTGTTTTGACATTTGCAACCCTAACCTGATAAGGGTTCTTTTTCATCCTTTGCAATTAAACTAAGAATCAGAATGACTTCAGTTAAGAAAGGAAATCAAGTTATATATAAAATTACTGTAGTTTATACAGAATTTATTTAGTTTGTGTTGGAAGATATAAGCTTATAAACACACTCTTGAATCTGTTCCTGAAACCAACCAGTACTGAGCAATGAGTGTAAAGTTTCTTGCTCAAGGGAACAATGACTTGCCCCTGATATGGTTTGAACTCATGCAGCAAGCAAATCCCTAAGGTTACTATTCAGACATGTAGACCAGCCACCACACAAATTTATTTGTGAGGACTAAATTTTGTTTGACATGGAATATTACCAACAAAATACATCAACACAAAGCACATTATCTAAATTTGATGTTTGCAAAACAAAGTACAAACTGACAATTCTGATCTCCCTCCATCTGTAGAGCTACCATGTCTTATTACTAACCTCATAGAGCTTATGAAACTTAACAATATGCATAGTAAACTAATCAACTACCTTTACAGCAGCAAGTGTGAAGAAGAAATTCCAGTGTACACCATATTCTGTCACATGTTCCTGATAGTTGGTAGATTTCACAGCTAGTACACGCACCAGACCTAGTGCCAACAATGGAACAGATGACTTCAAAGATTTCAGTAGTGATGGCACAACTCTGTACAATGAGAAATTGTCCAGTTATTTTTGCATTCAGTGCTCAAAAGGTCTTCTTTAATTCAAGAGCTGTTCATATACCAGCCATTTGATATAAACCACATTATTGTCCATACTTATAATATATTCTCTAATAAATGCTGCAAGTGTTTTACATTTTCCAAAAGTCAGCCAATAATTAAAGTACACACCACTTTAATTAACATAAATCTAATCTAATTTGCCTACTGTTTAAGTGATATTTTCATACTTGTTTATACATGCTAGAAGCACCAAATTTGTTAAAATTGTGCCAATTTCTGTGAATTTTTAACAAATTGCTTTCGTCTCTGTACATTGTAAGTCAGTCTTCTTTTCTTCTTTGACAAAAGGGGGAGTTTGTCAATATGTTGTACCCAATCTCACTATTTGGAGAAGTTTTTCTCTTCTAAAGTACAGATCACTTTTGTAAACTACTATAATCTCTAATTGATTTGTATATAAAGAGAAACAATTTATTAATTAAACATTCATTTTGTTATTATATAAAGCAATTGTTATTACATTATAAAAAACTTGTTCATAATCAAAGATCACATAAATTTGTATGCCTTTTATTACATTGTAAATCAAGATTCAATTTGTATATTAATTTGCACATATAAAATAAACAAATTATAGGAACTGAGTTATTTTTGCCACAAATATAAGTACAAGAAAGTTCCAGACTCTATGAAATAGTTGATACCATTCTTTTGCCTATTTTGCACATATATTTATTGTACATTGGGAAAAGAAATCAGCAAGAATTTGTAACAGAGTTACCAACGTCCCCCGCCTTGGGAAGTTTTATATGAAGCATAAAATTGAACTATTTCAAAAGATTGAGGTATGGACCTTGGGACATTCAGTCCAAAATTATGATCAATGCTAGATCTGCAAATGCAACAATATGTTAAAAAAATAAAATGAAACACGGAATTTAAAAATCTATCATGTTAAGCTTTGACCTCTAAGTGTGACCTTGACCTTGGAGGTAGGGGAGCAGGTGTTGTGCATGACATATCGTCTTATTATTGAGACTATTTGTGCCAAGTATTTTCAAAATCCCTTGAACTATGAAGAAGTTCTAGATCCGACACAAAATATACCCTATAACAGACTATGTTAGTTTTTGACCTCTAAGTGTGACATTGACCTTTGAGGTAGGGATGCAGGTGTTGCGCATGACACATCCTCTTATTATAGTGACTTTTTGTGCAAAGTATTTTCAAAATCCTTTGATCTATAAAAAAGTTATGGACCGGACACAAAATATACCCTGTAACAGACTATGTAAGTATTTGACCTCCAAGTGTGACCTTGACCTTGGAGGTAGGTGACAGGTTTTTGCACATGACACATCTTCTGATTATTGTGAACATTTAAATCAAGTATTAACAAAATTCCTTAATAGATAAGAAAGTTATAGACCGGACACGACATATACCCTCAAATAGACAATGTTGACCTTGAATGAGCAAGTGCGACCTTGACCTTGCAGGTAGGGGTCTGGTTGTTGCGCATAACACATCATCTTATTATAACAAACATTTGTGTCAAGTTATTTCAAATTCCCCTGATAAATGACAAAGTTATGGACCAGACACAAAATATACCCTGTAACAGACTATGTTAATATTTGACCTCCAAGTGTGACCTTGACCTTGAAGGTAAGTGACTGGGTTTTGCGCATGACACATCGTCTGATTATTGTGAACAATTATGGCAAGTATTTACAAAATCCCTACATAGATAAGAAAGTTATGGACCGGACACGACATATACCCTCAAATAGACAATGTTGAACTGAATGAGTAAGTGCGACCTTGACCCTGGAGGTAGGGGTCTGGTTGTTGCGCATGACACATCGTCTTATTATAATAAACATTTGTGCCACGTTATTTCAAATTCCTTTCATAAATGACAAAGTTATGGACCGGACACGAAAGTTGACGGACGGACGGACAGATGGACGTCCGGCTGAAATGGAATAAGGGGCCATTTCTTTTGTTATTTTCTAATGTTTAATAGAAGGCCAATGGCCCCTTACTCTATTGTTACGGAATGAACTCTATTGTTTTCTTTTGTTCTGTTTACAGTTAGATGGCCCCCTATCCCTGTTTGGTAGTGCGGACAGACGGACGGACAGGCGAACGGAGGAACAGGGAGCCTATTTCTATATCCCCCTTTTTTCTTCGAAAAGGCGGGGGACAACAAGCAGTCAGTTGTTTAAGTCTAAACCCTTTTTTGTATAGATTGTAAATATCATGTATAAAAATATTCTGACGATTAAAATATGTTTAAACCAAAGGTGTAGAAGCTCACCTGTCTGTGGATGTGATACCCCTAGCTTCTGGTGACACAACAGCATTTGTAATGAGAAATCCTCCTACACCAACATCCATCAATCCTGTGCCATATGTTTCTACTTTAGCAAAATTTCTTGGAAATATCTTAAAGTCCACAGCTAGGATTGAAAATGCAGTGATTACGTTTGCATATGCTCTATAATATGTAATAAAAGGTCTTCTATTGCTCATGTGAACATCTTTGAGAACCACTTTTTCTCTTACAGATCTGATTTTTGTCATCTTTAATTTCATGTTAAATATCAAAGCCAAAATCATGAAGAAACCAAAAAGGCACTGGAAGGAATACTGGCTAAATACTGTCATGGTAAGCTGTAGGGGAACTATCACTGCAATAAAATCTAACAGCAACCCAACCCTGCAAATACAAAACAAACAAAATTATAAATATACATGTACATGTATGTACTGTACATGTATGTACTACTTATATTTATTATTCAATGACTAAAATATCCTGAAAATAGTTGTACAATCATACTTATTTAATATCTTTTTACCCATTGTATATTATAATGCAATCATACCACAATGTCTAAAGGCAGGTCACATGCAACAATAGGCTATTAACAAATTGCTAGACAAAAGTTTTGACTGTATCAGAAAAAGAAGCTATGGCAACTTATTAATCTTGTATAGTCTAGATCAGTAGATTATTAAGTACAACAGTCATGTAATTTGGTGCTGGATTCATGATGATTAAAGGGACATTATTTTACAGTAATTTTATCCTTATTAACAAAACAAATTAGATAAGAGGAGTAGTTGTGGTCAGTGCTAGTTAAGAGTGTAAGGTATACTTCTGGACAGCTTCCACAGGTCATATGACGAGGCGGGCAGTAAGACAGGGCAACCCATACCAGGGCAGAACATACCTCTGTACAGGGCGAGCCATATTTTGGGACAGGGCGGACCATGACTAGAGAAGAGGCATACCATGCTTTAAATTCAAATTTAATATTGCTATTTCATTTCTTTTTTTATCTTTTGATATCAATATCATCCTAAACATGCCATATATCTAAGCATTTTAGTATTGAACAGATTTATATTGAAAAATTTAAACATCGATCTAGTTAAATATGTACTGATTAATCATGTGCACATGACATAAGGCGGACAGCAGACTTCCCGAAAGTTAAAAAAGACATTCGGTCTGACAAACCATGAAAATCTGTCAAACCGAAACGAAATCTGTCAGACCAAATAAAATTAATCAAAATCAAAGGAAAACTTGTGTTTGTATTTCTAAGACACTTTTAGGTTTTAATTTTTTCGCAATAAAAATCGGCACAGTCTGTACAGTTCATTTTCATCTCCTCCCTCTCATACACCAACGATTTACGGTCCTGCTTCCATTTTTCATTAAATTTTGTCTCAGATCTATTCTTTTCATCATTATACTGCTGTACTGCGTGCTCCGCTGACGTAGATTTTGGTTTTTCCCATGTTTGGCACCTATAGTGACGCAATTTTGTATACATGCGACTTGGATAAAAGCCGGACAGTCGGACCGATCCGGAATAGAAAAACCTTCGGACCTAATCAATATTTATAGGACATGTCTGCCGGACCGACGTATTTCGGGAAGTCTGGGACAGTGGATTAATATAATTTTACATAAATTTATTATCATATTGTCTTTTTTGTATCATATTGTTAAATAAAGGTTTTCAGTATTAGCAGCATTACTGTCTTATTATTTAACAAACAATGACTAATTGGTCAATTACCACCTGATTAAATGTCCAACTGGATGCTGTTATTTATAAATTCATTACAACATTTTGTTTAAAGTTATAAACTGCTTAAGTTTAATTAATAATATGTATACATATATATTTATAATGAAAAGAAAAAAAGAAATATCAATATTTAAATGTTTATATTACATTAAATCACAGATCATCTTGTCTTGAGTCATGGTCTTCCCTGTCCCAAAATAAGGTTCGCTCTATCCAAACATACAGTCCGCCCTGTCTCACGGTCCACCTTGTCCAATATATCTCTCATTATGTGCACATAATTCTTTCCACACGGTACGGTTGAAGGTAAGACAAAACATCCATAAGGTACAACATTTTTATACCATTTTCAAGGGGAATAATTAGTTAATAAAAAACTGCAAAAGATGAATATAAATCTGCTTCTGTTAGTTTTAAGTCCATATATGGAAGCATTTCGGGTGGATAAAATTAAAAGGACCTGGAAAAAAAGTTTGCTAAATTGCTTTGACTGTTATATTACTACAATGTGCAGTTTTGTTTCCTGTGTCTCGTTCTTTTTCAGCGGTTTAGAAAGTATTGTATAATGAACCCTGTACCATGATAAGTATTGTATGGTGAGCTGAGCGTATCATTACACCCTCTAACTTCTCGTCCTCTAAATATGATGATGCTTTTGAGATATTTTTACTTCAGTGCCTGACGAACAACATTTTGCAACATGCATTATTTCATTGAACTAGAGATACGACAATGTTTTAGTGAAATATGTAAAGAATCAAAGGTTGAACTTGAGTTTAACTAAGTTTTTACCACACTTTTTCTGTAAACTTCGCCAACCCTGGAATAACAACGACACTTGCATCTCTAATGTATACTGGTAAAAGACATGCGATCCCAGTAACTGCGATATGCAATGCATCTGTACCATTCGTTCCACCTATAAATGCTTCGTGTTCGTCTTTGTACGTCATCCTTTAATAATATTTTATTCAGTTAATTCATTGACAACTTGCAGAAATCACATTTTTTAAGTCTGTATCATCAAGACGCTTGAATATCTACGTCGCAAAGATCAGGATGATGTTTTAGTACTAAGTTGCTGACGAATAAAATATTAAACGGCACTTTATTGCCCAGGCCAATATCAGGACATATTGCCTGCTTTTTAATGAATGATATTAATTAGCTTAAGAATAACGCTAACTTGTCATTGTCCTTAGGGATTAGTATAAAAGTATCACTTTATATGTAATATAGATATACATTTTGTACATGTATAGAGAAAATTGCATTCACCCGTCTGCAAAAAGGCGCACTTTGTAAAATAATATCATGTCCCTCAACTATATCTATTGCAAATCTACGCATGATCGGGCCAATATTGACCACTGCAAATATGAGATCAATTATACACATGTAAACTTATAAGAATTGCGCGTTTCCATAAAGTAATATACAATTTGACATCACCCCAACATTATGCATGTTGTTAGTCCAACTAATTGTACCGTGCGAAGATATATTTTGCGTTTTTGTGTATGGGCAATATCTCTCTTGTAGCGTGATTATGCCCAGAACAAACATATTTTAGAATCAATATATTTTGGCTAGCCATGTTATCTGATTGCTGTCTTTTACTGTATAAATTTGTCCGCTTTATATTCCACAAAGGCTAAAAACGCGTTATGCAAAGTACAGGTCATGAAGAATCCATCATAGTATACGTAATGTCCAACTTTTTTAGCTGCGTCACGACAAAACCAACATAGTGGGTTTGCGACCAGCATGAATCCAGACCAGCCTGCGCATCCGCGCAGTCTGATCAGGATCCATGCTGTTCGCTTACAAACTCTTTTACTAGCAGAGAAACTGATAGCGAACAGCATGGATCCTGATAAGATTCATGCTGGTCGCAAACCTACAATGTTGGTTTTGTCGTGACGCGGCTCATTTATTTCCAGAGTTTAACACTGTTTATTCATCAATTTCAAATTGTGTAAACTTTCCCACTCTTGAACAGTGTTAAACTCTGGAAATGTCTGCGCTCGTCATTCTTCAATCGCATTAATTAATATGTCTTATGACTTTAATAGTACGTACGCTTATCACGTTGATGTTGTTTAATTACAAATGTGTTGTCGCTTAATTTTGCTGTGTTTGCAACATCTGCAGTGTTAATTCTGAGCATATGTCAGTTAAAATACCTTAAAAGTCTTCGTAGTATTACTCAGATTACCGTTAATAAACACGATTTAACTTTTGGTTATGTACCCAAATTTATTGACCGTGTGCGTTGAATTTGTGTTTGATTTGTAATTAAATAAATGAACTATAATATCATTTCTCTCAGCTATATATTTTGAAAATGTCAGCATGATCAGGCAAATATTGAGCAGCGTATATGACACTATTTATACATGCACATTTATAAGATTTGTTTTAAGTGTATATGTACATGTATTCTGCCGGACATATAATGTATATATGCGGCCATGGTGTCAGAAACCCAGGTATAAATACTAAATTTAATACTTATATTTGTTCAACAAATTTCATTCACGTATCAATACAGACCGATTCAAGATTGAAACAGAGCCATGTAAACTACGCTTTATTCATTTGCCTTCAGTAACCATGGTAACTTCTCGATGGAATCGATTTGTTTTTATTTGTTTGGCTCGTCAGACCAAACAAATAATGGTAGTGAAATTTCAGACTCTAATGCTGTTAATTGCAAATGCCGAAAGTAGTCCGCTTTTTTGAAGCGGATACTTCTCTTTATATGTACACTAACGCAGAATAATTCAGGGGAGATCACTGCGTAAAGATGGTCAAATGACAGGCGCATTAATTTTCAGGCAAAAGGCGCATTAATTTTCGAGCAAAATAATTCCCGAATGGTCGAAGATTTCTAATATTGTTTTATTCTTTATAGATATACATGCTTATAGTAAGCTCCGGTGAGCGGCGTCGTCTCTTATGGAATGCTTTTTATTTTGGCCTATGGAAGGAGCTGTTATTATTAACAGTTAATGTCATGTTGTTAAAATTACATATGTGTTAAACAACAGTGAGCGTCGTTACAAACCCTAATTTAGAATAATATGGGTTTCTTAAGGCCATTAACATATAAATTCACCGTGTCCGAGGGGTTTGCGCGCTCGCCTAGGAAGCGGGAAGTCTGGAGTTCAAGTTCCAGATAAGGCACTCATTTTTTTCAAATTGTTTAAGTCAAATAAACATTGGATAGAATATCAGTATTGCAATTAGTCTTATAGCCAATTTACTAAAATTAAAACGATGAAAAGCATTGGTGGCACTATACAAAAACAAATTGGTTTATAATCTCACAACCTGCACCTTTCTTACATTCTGAGGCCCAAACAAATTAAGCGCCTTCTGTGCTTTGATTGTTTTTTTTGCAGGTCATATATTTAATTTTCAGTACACTAGTTAGCGGATGACGTTTACTAGCAAACACAGTTCTGTTACGTTACTTCTTTTAATAACATGGAACTTAATTTTTTTTAAATTGGACACATGAAAAAGATAATATGAGCCGCTTCACGATAAAACCATCATAATGGGTTTGCAACCAGCATGGATCCAGATCAGAATCCATGCTGTTCGCTTACAGACCCTATAACAAGTAAAGAAACTGACAGCGAACAGCATGGATCCTGATCAGACTGCGCGGATGCCTGCGCTGGTCTGGATCCATGCTGGTCGCAAAACCATTATGCTGGTTTTGTCGTGACGCGGCTTATATGTTTTGCGGAAGATCTTCTTTTTCTTATTTGGGAAATATTTTTTATGAAAATATTCATTTACATTAAATAACTCGGTCAATACAAATGTTTTAATAAATTAAAGTGACCATCATAGTGTGTATGTAAGGTTCCATATTTCATTTCATAGATGGCTATAATAAAAAATAAAAGAAGCTAACACAATTTTTTTTTAAAGATTTATATCAAAAGAGACAGTTCAAAGACGAAAAGATAAGAAAATAAAAACATAATATTTACAATAAATTTAAGTGATTTAATTTAGAAAAAATACAAACCGCAACAATAAGTATTATATAGTCCTAAAAAGGATTATGTTTTTCATTTAAACGACGGAAAATACTTTCAATTGAATATTTCTTAATCGGAAATTCATTTATTTTAAACCCTCCAGCTTTTCAATTCAACACTTCTTTTATTCAATGGTCACCAAAAGACAACTAAATCTCTTCTTGTTAATCACACATCGTTTTTCTAAATCTAATATGTACCAGTTGTTTTAATTTTTTTTACTCGTGTCTTATATATAACAGTCATTCCTTCATAAAATCTTAAATGAACAGAAACAAAAAAGAACAAAAAGATATGACTTCTTGTAGCTACATTTCGGTAGAATATTTTTGTTTTTAACCTTATTGGTAAATTTTAAACATAAGTTTCAGTAGTCAATTACAAATCTTTTCAGATTATGTAAGTCTACTTGAACAAAGTCTACAAAAACAAAAGTTAAAAATCTCACACATTGATGATAAAAGTACATGGTATTGCTTCAAAAGATTAAAATGATTTAATTATCTACATTTCGGTAGAATATTTTTGTCTTTAATCTTATTGGTAAATTTTATACATAAGTATCAGTGATCAATTACAAATCTTTTCAGATTATATAAGTCTATTTGAACAAAGTCTACAAAAACAAACGTGAAGAAATATAAGTTTAAAATCTCACACATTGATTATAAAAGTACATGGAATTACTTCAAAAGATTAAAGATCCAAAAGATTCAAATATCTACATTTCGGTAGAATATTTTTGTCTTAAACCTTATTGGTAAATTTTAAACATAAGTATCAGTAGTCAATTACAAATCTTTTCAGATTATATAAGTCTATTTGAACAAAGTCTACAAAAACAAAAGTTGAAAATCTCATACATTGATGATAAAAGTACATGGTATTTATAATACTAAGCCTCGCTTCTGTCTGTCCTAAGAATCTGCACTGACGATGTAACTTCATTTGAAACATTTATGAACCGGATTAAAATAAATAAACGAAATGGTAGACCTGGTTTTAAATAAAAAGAAAAACATATAAAACAGAAAAAAAATTCAAAAAGAAAATTCAAAAAGAAAGATTCAGTTATAGGTCTTGTTGTATTTCAATATTGCTTAATTCATAAATAGTCACGCTGGTTAACTACTACCAATTTTTTGCTGTCTGCCCTGTAATGGTCAGGAAAATGTTCAACAAAATTAGTAATATATTGATAAAATATTGGGCAAAGTTCTATTCCGTTCTCGGCCTTTAAACATTTTTATTTTTTCCTGTAGGGATATCTGCCGTCATCATGTTCATTAGGATATCTATCGGATTCTGTATCTCCTTGGTGCTCTGGTTCACCTACATCATCACCCTCCGTTGTGTCTCCATCATCTTCACGGGAAGGTCGAGTTCCATCATCTTCAGGATACTCACCATTCGGGTAGTGACTAGGGTCTCTTTCTCCATGAGAATCGGATGTATCTTTGTCGTCAGCGTAAGCTATGTCATCTGATTCACCACCTCCTTTGACCGGATGTTTGCCACAATGATCGCAAGTGCACCGGGCAATAGATTGCCAGGCTACCATTTTGTTCTCAAGGTCAAGGTACCCTCTCTTTACTATGCCTTTCTCTAAAAGTAGAAGATATGTCACTGCTGATTATCATCATGAATAGTAATGATAATATAAAATTAATCACACCACTACTTATGACGCTTTTCAATATTAAACAAGTTGTATTTCAACGTTTTATAAAATAACGAATACTGTTAGTGTTAGGGATACTTAGGCAAACAATGACAAAATATTAAAATGATTTTATGTACTCAAATCACGCTAAAATGACATTTTTTAAGTCCCAGCATGAATTTCTGTATATTTTCTAGATATTTAGGGTTTGAAGCGTGAATGTATTCATATATGTAGAACAAAATTTAGACCCCGACAAAATCAATCACCGAGTAGTTTTAAAACAAGTCATGTGACACTAACAAACCCAGGAAGTTACAATAACATATACTAGGGATATTGTATGACTGAAACAAGTGTAAGTTATTCATTTGACATGTACTTTAACGTTTCAAGAGTTCACTGTAACAAGTATTATGAAATCTTAAGCTCTAGATAACCTGACCCACTTGGATCAAGTTAGGAAACCAACGTTTTATTCTTTATAAGGAGAAAAGTTTTGTTCTTGTGACAGTCTAGTGTTTTAATTTTGAGGACATTTACAGAATAATGAATGAAAAATTCAAAACTAAGAAATGAAAATTTTGCCTGTTTCTCCCTTTAATAGATATGCTGGAAACAAAAGAAACAACAGAATTATATGAAAAATTCAGACTGGCTGTTGTTGAGTCTGTTCATGAGTTTAAATGTAAAAAAGTGCCGCTTCTCTCAAACAATCTTCAACACATAAAGTGCTTGATTATAAACTTTAAAAAAATAAACTATACAAATTTATATATCACAAGTTCTTTACAAGCACAGCACATTGAACTCCTGTTATACTTGGACGTTTTGAAAGGTAAATATCTAGCTAAGACTTGTCATACACGTAAAAATAAGACATAAATTTACAATACTTTTCATATTTGATTGTGATATTTTATAATGACAGTAATTTTAGGTAGATAACAAAATTTTACCCATTTTCGTCAACGGCATCTGTTTTCTTGTAGTCATTTTGTCATTTCCATTACATACCGCATCTGTGAGATAATAGAGTACTTCATAATTATTAATTGACACTAAATTTATTGAAGCATTCTTATTAAATATCAAGTACACTTATATTATCTGAAAAGATTTGTAATTGATTACTGATACTTATGTTTAAAATTCACCAATAATGTTAAAGACAAAAATATTCTACCGAAATGTAGATATTTGAATCTTTTGAAGTAATACCAAAATCTGCGAAAAATACGAAGCATATTTCTTTATCATACGAATACAAAATGATCAACATTTAATATTCTACCACCTTTTTAAAACAAGAAGTATCTTTTAACACCCTACTCAGCCGAATAAAAACTTTTTAACAAACAAAATTATGTTATTTCTAAGTTTTCAATAGAAACAGAAATGTTTCAAGCACCTGTATGTAAGTACTGTTTTCGCCAAAGAGTTTTAACATCTTTCTATCGGTTCAAAAGATACAGACCGGACACGAATTTTGAGATTCATACAAAATAACTAAGTGTGACCTTGATCTTGACATGATGAATGTCAAACATGCGCTCATCGTCTCATTAAAAATTAAAATTTCTGCCAGGTGGTTTCAATCTCCATCCAACGGTTCAAAATATTCAGAACGGACATGGAAACTGTTAACAGACGGACGACCAGGTACATAACAATACTCTCCGTTATACTCTCGGGCGTATAAAAAAGAACCCATAAACAGTCTTAACCACATTATAAACCACAGAACAAAATGCATTTACCAAATGGATCCTTTTGCATTGTGCCCATTTGCATCATGTTATTGTCGGAGATACGTTTTGCATGTTTAGATACTACTTCCTTCAGGCGTCTCATTTTACAAACATCCTCTTTTAGAGTGTCAACGGTCTCACCATTTCCAGTAAACGACTGGTCCTGTTGTCTACACATGCTCTTCATCTTTCGGATACATGCGTTCCTTTTACCACAGCCATGTAAAAGTTTAGCATAGATTCCTTCGTTAAATGGAAACCCTGTCTTATTCATCCTGTAATCATTCAGTCGTTGTTGAAATGATTCATCATTCATCCAGTCAAATCTTACCGATTGTATGTCTTGTTTCAAAGCATCATGTAAATGCATAAGCATGTTCTCGAAACACGTGTCATAAAATTCTGGATAGAAAAACATTAGCTTGACTGCCAGCGAGGATGTTGTGTCCGAAAACTTTGCAATCATTTCCTTTACTTCTTTACCAGCAAGATCCATATACTGATACTGAGTTTGTGCTGACATTTGCTTGAATCTTTCTAGTGTGTTTGCTACTCCACATACCTCTTTAGCAACATATTTCTTAGCAATTTCTTGTTTATGATTGCGTACAAGGGAAATCATTTCATTTATAGTTGCATTCATTGCTCTGACACCTGTCAGTTCGCCAGCAGACGTATACCCTAGAGAACTTAACTCCGCCCGAAGTCTCTCAGCAATGTTCGATAGTTGACCTTCATCCTGTCCAAAGTAATTCATAGTTTAGTTATTTGCAAGTTATCATTTTTTATTACCACGATTGTAACTTGTTTCTTTCTTGAAGCGTAAAATTTACGTCCTATTTCAATTGTTCGACTTTAAATTGTATAATATCGTATGCATTTATATTTAATTATTAAGTAAATGTTAATATCACATTTGTACTTTATTGTACAAATTATTTTGTTGATTAATGAATTTGTTTGTTTTGTTTTTTTGTTATTGTCATCAAAAAAAGCTGTTTATCGGTATAACGAAGATTGTTAAAAAATAATGAAACTAAGCAAATACCTATCACGTGATACACGAACTATTTGAGATACACTATTCACATGCGTAAAGTGTAATTGTTTCTAAACATTCACTTTGAAGGCCAAGTAAACGTGGAAAATGTTTCTAAAATATATATACTATTTTATTTTCAATTAAGCAGGACAAAAATGAACACAATACTTTGAGCGGAGAAATAAACAGGCAAATCGTGAATGGGCAATTAAAACACTACGAGACCAGCAAAAAGGACACAATCTGTATAGATGATGTCACACGTAATTTTGTCTGTGATAAAAGTTAAGCATACTAGATACATGTCCCGAAAACAAACTCTATGACGGAAAAACATCTATGAAAATGTTATCTTGAAAAAACTAGGAAAATATATTTTCAAAACAGCGACTAAAAACGGGGATGGATAAAATTAATATTATATTCAATTTTGGTATGACAAAGCATCGTCGCATAAGCTAGACAATTTGAAAACATTTTTAGAAACAAAACAACAACAACAACAAATGTTCTTAACTATCCTGTAAATCGTACTTGTCTGTACAACATACAATGCTCTTGGGACAACACTAGTTAAGAACCTAAAGGATATACCTATTTCAGATTAACGAAACTGCTATAACAAGTATAGAAACTGAAAGCGAACAGCATGGATCCTGATCAGACTGCGCGGACGCGCAGGCTGGTCTGGATCCATGCTGGTCGCAAACCCATTATGTTGGTTTTGTCGTGACACTGCTCAATTGTGGATAAAACTTTTGAAAAAGGGTGCATAACTATTGGAGTGACTGCTTTGTATCATTTAAAACGGTTACTTGAAGACTTGAAGTGAATTTGGTAAATTTGATGTATTGCATTTAAATATACGACCCTAGTTTCATAATTTTCTGAACATCTTCGTATACGTGAAATAAATATTCTCTATATTATATCTGTTTTTGATTTCCATAAAATATTGGAAAGCATATGACAATAAACAACCAATGTATCTGAAAAAATGAGATGAAATCTAACACAGTGAGACTTGCCAATTATACCTTAGAACACATTTTTGTTTAATAAGAAAATATCTTACTTTCATTTCTTGTACATAGCGTTTGATCAAGTCTAGAAGTCGTCGGTAATTGATAACACTTTCTTCATTCGCATCACCCCATGTGTTTTCACCGTTTAACCCTTGAAACTCATTCAGTTGACTTTTTACCCATTCTTTAGCTATTTATAAACATGTTTTCATTTTATAAACATTCTTTATTAGTGGCGTTAATAAATCATTACGTGCCTGTTATAGTTTGCAATCATTTAGTTATTGGCCAATTACATAAACCATCTTTTGCTTTTTTTTGCTTTTCTTTGCAATAAGTACACTTATCGTGTGGAGCATTTTGTAAAGGCAATTTAACTTTGTTTTTATTTCTTAACTTTTACGACAAATAGTTTTACATTCAGCGCCTATGTATTCAGGTAGTAGTCATCTAGTATGCTCCACAAATATTACTTCAATGTTATAAAACTTATGTTTGCCCTTACTAAAGAAGAAAAAAAAAGGAAAACATTATGTGTCATACTTTTTGGGCTTTAGAACAACTTTGTGAGACTTGAAGTTAAACAAATTTTGGTAAACTAAATTCCTAGTATCTTGTTTTATGTGTAAATTATTATTACCATTTTCATTTTCCCTGGAACAATCATCAAGGTAAGATTCCTTCGGAAGTCCTTTAATATAGGCTCTCATTATTTTAGTAAACATCTTTCCATATTTTCCAACTACATCATAGTCTTTTTCATACTCTTCATTCCATTCAGGAGACATTGCCTAACGGAGGATAATAACAAATAGTCAATATCTGATTTTCCAGTATTTCTTTGTCACTAGAGATTAAAACATTTAATTGTGTAAAGATATTAACAGTATATGCATACAATGTATAGTTTGAAATGAGATGCTGTCTTGTACATTACTTTAACACCGAATTTTATGGTCGTTAAATCTGACTTGAAAATTAACATGAAAACATATGATAATAAGGAAATAATTGTGACCATATTATATTTGCCATTTTGTTTGCAAGAGTTTACTCCCTTGAATTTCTCACTCAATTGCCATACGACCTGTTCTGCAATATTTTTCTGTTCAATTCGACCATTGAAATTTACCTTACCATCTATTATCTCATTCAAACAATTTGCTTGCATTCAACAATTTAGCATTTTGATAATGAGTCGTGTATTTTTTTCTTTCAAATTTACATAAGCATAACAGAAACTGTCCCATATTCTTCCTATCATGAAACTTACCCTTTGTCTAAACATTTGCATAGCATGTTTGAACCTCCTTGGTTGACCATACACCCCTTCAGTCCGCATGTGATTCATGTAGAGTAATGTAACGTCATCGTCTTCGGTTTCCATTGGGAGCAAATCGCAAGTAGGCTCTATAAAATAAAATGTGAGTGGTTTTACTGCATTGATAGTCATAGTATGATTTATCCATTAGTAAAGGCGTTAAGCAATTATAGACATTATTTTTGTATTCGTCTGTATTTTTAACTGTGAAATATCACAAGACGAAAACATTATTGATAGTATTTTAGAAAATACATATGTATTTTTTATTTTTTGTTCTGCACTTCAAGTTGTAGGAGGACGTAAGGTCAAGGTCATGTCAAAACAACATTGAGAAAAACAATATATTGACAATTAAATTCTACTAAATAATAAGCACCTCATATTGAAAGTTTAGCGTATTTTATGTGGCAGTTGTTGCATTATCTTATTTCTTTTCATACAGAGAACTAAATTATTGAAGCCATCAAGAGACTTTAAGAAAGATTATTGTACGCTTAATTTAACAACACGAGCTATCCGATTGTTTTGAAATTACTGTGGGTGTAGTATGCGATAGATTATTAATATCTTCCATTGTCTTGCTTGCTTACGTAAACTTTGAGTACTTTTAATTTGTACTGATAGTAAACGATGTTTCTAATTTCCAAAACAAAGTAACATACCCGTGACTGTTTGAATGGAGCAGTTAAAGTTGATATCAAACGTAAGATAGTTGTTACAGAAGTTTGTGTCACCTTGAACCTCCCGTAATGGATCCAACATACCCACCAAACGGTACATACCTGCACAATTTATATATGTTAACTATAAATACTAACCTGATAAATACCAATTATTAAAAACCTGTAAAGTGTGCTCAAGAAAAACGCTTTTAGATAAAACAACTAAATAGATGAATCACTTTTTATAAGTAAAAGCACCATAACTTTAATAACGGGTTTCACATATTGCTAATTGTTAAGAATCATGAGTATATTTTTTTTTCAAATGAAAATGACTTGTCAATAGTTATTCTCATCTCCTTGAGAATTTTAGAACTTGTCCTTCACATTTCTTTTACCAGAAACATAAATTGAAGTGGTAACCTATGTAGTAAGTATAAAATCTTGAACGGTATGATATCAACAGTGTATATCTTTAATTTGTTCTTCTAGAAACAACAATTATTGAATCGCATCGGTATTGCGACAGGCCTGCCATGGGTATGCCGATAGAAATTACTTTTGTACACCGTTCGGGTACAAATCTGTGATAAAGTAGTTACATCTATCCATTAAATATTTTTTTTAATATTTAATAAACAGTGCTAAAACAAATTAATTACCACAGTGTGTACGGCCGTGTTCTCCAATCAACTTAGTGAAATCACTATTTTCAAGGTCTGCATCTGAAAGATTGATTAAGTTAAACTTATACATAACTAGTGCACAGGCCGAATAACTCTTTATTGTCTATACACTTATATGTAGATTTTAATAGCAAAAATGAGTATGAAAATTGATACGTTTATTAACATGTATATATGTACATGTATATATGACGGTTAGTGTCATAATTAAAAAAAAAAAAAAAAAAAAAAAAACGGATTCAAAACTTGCAAAATATGCACTGTTACTTTTTCATTATATTTTTCATAATATTTTCATTTGGGACTTAAAATACTTTTTTATATAAATATTTTAAGTCAAAGCTTTCATTGAACTGTTTGATTTGATTACAGAGGACACTAAACGATATACATAATCCAATACGATTTAGATATATCATGTCACCGCGCTTTTTGTTCGTTCAGTGGATTATTTAGACAGGCAGACAATTTATTACAATCAAATAAGGCTTATAAGCCCAAGCATATTTACGTACAGACAGTGCATATGGTCATATACAAAACGTTATACACGTTGAATTAAAACGCGTCCGATCTCATCCTAGTATTGATCTGACAGTGTTTGCCTCAATCAATTTAAGAGACAGCATTTATATTAACTAAATTAAATTATAAATAATAATATTCATAGATTTCATATCAGGTATAAAACAGTATTTTTAAATTGTAAATTAATTGCCTTTTAAATAAATAAATAAAATAAATAAATAAATAAATAAATAAATAAATAAATAAATAAATAAATAAATAAATAAATAAATAAATTGAATAAATAAATAGATAAATAAATAAATAAACAAATAAATATTTTTGAAAGGTGCGTTTGTCTCATACATACACTTGATACATTGCGGATATCCTAAAATTTCGTCAGCAACTCCGATGGTTGGTAGTAGATTGTTCTTTTCACATTCTTGCCTGTTTGGGAACGGTTTTGTGGCGGTGATGCTTTCAAGAGGAGATAGAAATCCGACAACAAAGAAACATTCATCAGTTTCGGTGGAAGGTAATGGAGAAGCTGTAGCAACAATCTGGTAAAAAGTTCACATACGTTTTCATCTGTTTCAAGTTTAATTACATGATGAATAAGATGTAACTCAAAATATATTTTTTATTTAGATATTCACAATGATTAATCCTGTCTTCTGTGTCATTAAACTTTATCAATATTTGACATTTTAAACGCAGAAAAAAAATGGAAATACATTTTTGCCTGATGAAATCTTGACTTTATGACATCACAAGTTATTTCTCCTACATGTGTATATTTAAGGCTTACCTCCACATTATGTGTCACCATCATATCACCGATAATATTTGCGAGGGATTTGCGTCCAGGAGTCTCTGTTACTTCTATTGTGGGAAACATACTTGGATCAACATCCATAAGTCCACCATCGAATGTTAGGCCTAACTTTACGTCAACTACAACAAACGATAGTACATTTACTTACATTGTTCGGACAACAATTTTATCGTTTTCCCAATTTCCATCATTAGTTCACTATATTTTATTTTGTACTTATTTCATACGCAAATTCTTAAATACAGATATAACATATATCTATACAGTTATACGTGTGATACTTGTGATGTATGGGAAACTTTATTAGTCCCCTAACGGACTATCATTCCCCTCGAGAGCTGTTTTCATTGTCGTCCGCTCCGGTATTGGTCTATTCAATAGATATTGTCAAGTTTGAATCTTTTCCATTGCCAGTGTTTATCTAATTTAGATTTGAACTCATTAACGTTCTTTGATAAAACTATTTCACTGGGAAGTAGGTTCCATTCGTTTACGACTCTATTAGAGAAGGAATTTTGTCTTATTGCCTTTAGTGGTCTTAACTTTTCTAATTAATAAATATGTCCTCAGATTTCATGATTTGTAACAGATAATTTGAACAACTTTTCATAGTCAAAATCGTCTATTACGAAAGCCTAATAGTGTCAAATAAGATAAAAAAATAAAAATGCAAAGGCGTTATAACGCGAATAAATTTAAGGCGTTATTACGCGAATCAAAAGGCGTAATTACGCAAATCAAAATGCGTAATAACGCGAAAAAGGCGTAGAAACGCGAATAAAAAGCGTTATTACGCGAAAAAGGCGTTGTAACGCGAATCAAAATGTGTAATAACGCGAATAAAGGCGTTATAACGCGAATCAAAATGCGTAATAACGCCTTTATTCGCGTTATAACGCCCTTTTTCGCGTTATTACGCCTTTTGATTCGCGTTATAACGCCTTTATTCGCGTCATTACGCCTTTTGATTCGCGTAATAACGCCTTTATTCGCGTTTTAACGCCTTTGCATTTTTATTTTAATTTTATTTGACACTATTAGGCTTTCGTAGTCTATTTTGTGAATAAGTTTAAAAACTTGTATCATATCTCCACGTTGACGTCTGTAATCAATAGAAAGCCTTTAATTTTTGTTCATATGTGAGTACTCTTAGTTCAGGGATGATTCTTGTAGCTCTTCTTTGGGTATTTTCCACTAATTGTTTATTTTTCTTTGTTACAGGGTAATAAATGATATTTCCATAATCAGTGATTGGTCTTATAAGACCTTTATACAATAAAAAAAATTGCATCTTATCCATGTGAATAAAATTTCTTTTCAGCAAACCGATATGAGAGTTTACTTTATTAACATTAAAATTACATATCAAAAATTGCGGGTTGGATATTACCTTAAACCTGCTAAATTCGTGTAATGGATTTATTATGTTTTGAACGCTAGTGACCAAGAATTATCAAATCGGTGCCATCCGTTTAAGGTATAGAGAATCTTGCCGAATATCAGACAAACCACGCCCTCAGAACCAACTTTTGATGTCGTAGTAAGAACACTCTTAAGCTATTTACTTAATGTTTAGATATTAGAATATTTAAACTCTTAATGACGGAGGACCAGTTTTGTTGTTGTTGATGATGATGTTGGTAGTTTAATTAAGCAGACGAGATATGTTTTTTTTATCTAAAGAGGTTTTAAATTTTTAGTGCAAAATGGAATTGAATAAGCAACAAAAATATTCTTTTCGCAACTATGACTGAGAAATATAAAGTGTGACCCCTTTGGTACTAATTTACTTTCAAAGGTTATATCAATATTAAACTTAGATCCTTGATTCATGTGGTTTGTATTGTCATCATTTTAGCGGTTCTAAATAGATTTATCATATAGCTTTTACAAATTGACTTTTGAAATAAAATTTAAAGTATTATAACGGCAACTCAAATATTCATCTCCGCTAGCTTTATGTATAATAAAGCAAAGGAAAACATTCTTTATATTATTTTACATTGACAGTTTAAAACTATATAAGATTAGCATATATAAAATTAGGAAGAAATCAGAAATGAAAACTTACCACCACCATAACTCTGCACCGAAAAGATGCAATATAGAAAGCAACAAACACTGCCAAGAAGGCATAAATTACTTCCATCCATATTAGTTAATTCTAAAGCTTCACAACCTATTCTAACCTTCTCGTTTATGAAATGTCGCCGAAGTCTTTATTTATCCCTTTAATTTGTAATCTCTGACGCAGGTAGCTGAAAACGAGACTGACTCCAGAAAAAGGCAAACTTAAAAACATATTTGTTTCCAGAAGAACTAATTATTGATAATTAGAATCTTTCCATATGATTAATAAACAGAACAGAAGTAGCAATATTCCGCATCCAAAAATGCAAATAAAAATTATAGTAATAAAATGGTGAAAATGAAATTAGTGAATGACAATATGCTGCAAAAAAGAAAAATACTCCAAAAAGAATATAAATTGATTTTTTAAAATTAATTTATTTTTTGTTGACGATCAGACGCTGCTTAATTATTTTGTTTTAAATATACTCCTCTAGCTTAAAAGTTTGAGCCACATAATGAAACAATTGATTGTATATTATTATTTCAATATCGGTGAATATGTAATGCCCTTGTGGTCCGAATTCCGCAAGTGATTTTAGAGTCTTTCCTGTGAGGAAACTATCCGGCTAGCTTACGGAACTTCGATGGTTATATTCAGGTGCCCGTTCGTGCCTGAAATATTGCACGGAGGGACACCTGAGGTCTTCTCCCACTAGTAAAGCTTAAAAGTGCCAAATGACCTTTCCAATGTTAGTGCGACGTAAAAAAGTATATATAATATGTATTTCATGATATGTACGTTTTTACGGTCACAGTATACCTGATTTGACGAGCAAAGTTATACAATATTTACTTATTATCATAATTTTACAATAAAAGTTATGTTTTATCGAGTGATAAAACAATGCAAAAGTTCGATTCTTAAAAAAAACAAGAAAAAAAACAACAAAAAACAAATGAGTACCAAATTATGAGCTACGTTATATTTTGCCTATTATCTAGCTATAGCAACGACAACATCATTATGGAAAAACAGAATTTGAAATTCTCTTTCTAAAATTTAGAACATCTTAATACTTTAAATGGTTTCTCTTTATCTTCCAAATACAATCACGAACTAACTATAAATCAAGAATTATAAGATATCTACTAATTGCTTTACGGCAACCAACCAGCTCATGTTTGACAGGAAATATCTATAATTCATAATGTATCCTTTGTTCTTTTAAAAGTCTTTAACATTTGCCAAAAGCTCTTACTCTGGTCGTGACTTTGGGATTGGTGATGACTGGCAATTTTTGCCTGTGAAGTATACTATGAAGAACTGAACTGTCTTAATTGACAAATTTACCTTTAATTGTTTTTATAACGTCATTAACATTATCAAAGCTCATAGTTTGTTTTCGCATTGAATTCATGTTATTATTTTTTATTTATACATGCATAAACAATATATAAAACTTCTATGCTTTTCATTTCATAACAAATAATATGTTAATTTTATAGTTTAATACTGAAAGTATTCATCGTTTAAAATTAGAAATATCATTCAGATCATACAGATCTAAGAGAATTCCTTCCGAAAATAGCAAAAAAATAACAACAACGATAACAAAACAACAAAGAAAGTTGATTATTATGCATCTGCTTACCATTTTTAATTTGAATATTTCTATATAATGAATGGCAGAAATAAAGTTATAAATGATAACTATGTTTTTATTGTCCTATGTTTCTTGTAATCTGCATTGTTGTTTTTAAAACCAAGGTTTTCTGATTTGTTGGTTATCTAAAAAATTGCTATCATCAAATTATTAAAGGATTCATGAAATTCCTTAATTTCAAGAATATGCAATTTCTTCATCTTTTGTCACAAAAGACAAACTTCGTTTGAAATTCTCTTTGATTTCAAAAGTTGTGATGATAACTGCCTGATATTTTATAACATGTTAGTTAAGAGTTGTACTACAGTATTCAAAAATAACTAACTGTAAACTTGAAAAAAAAAAGAACATATTGACAATAACTTGAAATATAGAACAAAGACTCAATTAAAATAAAAATGTAGGACCATTCAGCAGGTTGACCGAAATCTTTAAGTATTGGATAAATGTCAATACAGTACCAACGTTTTATCACATTTTTATATAAAATAGAGTGTTTTATAGTAAGTAAAAGAAATGATGGCAAGAACCACAGACACAATTCTTTAAACTAGAGCAAGTATAAATAAACAATAAAGGAATCAAGGCTTAATGTTTTTATTGCAGTACTGAACAGTTTCATGGTTTAAATACACTAAAGAGCATAGAGTGTTTTATAGTATTTTATTTCTGTTTGTTTAGGAATATTGTACTTTTAATCAATTACATCTTATACTTTTTATTTTACATGTATATACTGATGAAAGCACTCTTTGATCATATGTTGGTTATTCAATATCATCAAAACGGGAGACGACTAAAGTTTATACAGTTACTATAAGGCTGTAATGGTTATTTTCTCAGAGGCGAACATGAAAGTAAATAAATCGCATAAACAGTTTGCAAATAAGTTTTGTTTATAACAATTGATAGCTATTTCTGTCTCTGTTCAATGATATGTGTGTTTGATATAAATCTGAAAATGGATGGTTCGATTTTGCATACATTTTATTTTTTCCAATCAGACATGTTAAATGTTGTTTTGGCAGAAAATACAACAAACACGATGAATCTACCCAAAGAGACTGTAAATCTATTTTAATGTTTAAATGATATCTAACATACATTTTGATTTTTATCTCGTCTAAAGAATGAACTGGATATCCAATTTCAAAGAACTAGTTAAATCAAAACGTTTTGCATTTCATTTTCTTTTCTTGGCGTTATCATAGCACTTCTCACACGTGCAGACGGACGTTTTCTGCCACATGATGTGCTTGTTGTCTAGTGTTGGCACTCCTCTGTAAATGACCTGACCATCTCCGTTCCCGACAGGTTCATGTTCTGCACAAAATTTCAAATACAAAATTATATAATATTCTTCATTCGTGAAAGAAAAATAATCTAATAAACTTGTTACATAAGTTATAAGACACACATTTTGCCATAAACCATACATCTGTATCTGTTCCTTTTTGCACAAACAATACTGTTTACGTGTTTTGCCTGTTTTACAAAAAAAAAATACAAACATATCGCAAACTTTATATTCTTAATGAAAGAGATAACTAAAATAAACTCAATATTACTCACTCATTTTCCACAGAGTCAAAGGTCCTTTATTTGGGGCTAAGGGGTCTTTGCGGCATTCATCTAAAACGAACAAAATGTACATTAAGCAGAAAAAGTGTTCATGTATATTTTCAATATAAACATGTAAATTTGCAAAAGTCAAACAAAGGTGGCAATGTTTTCTTTATTGTCTTATCTTTTAAGCAAGTACTTTAATAATTTTATATAGAACTTATTCAATACCTCAATATCTAGGCATAACATACCATCATTCATTCCGTGTCTATATTTCATTCCCAACCATTTGAAATGCTTTTCAGCTTGCTGCTTTAGATATCTTGCTCTGCAAATCTCGTATTTACTATCCATTACAGGAATACTTGATGTCATGTGGCTGGTTAGACACATTGTCTGTAACTTCTTTACACATTGGTTAGGCTTTAACTTACATCCACTGAAAGCCACTTTCTCATTGACTATTTCGTTCGTATCCCTCACCTTGTGATAGAAAACAAGAATGTTCATACCTCTCATCTGATAAATATCTTAAAATATTACTGTTTAATAACTGTATGAAAATCAATGCATCTACTTATATATTCTCACAACGAGCTGTTTAAATATTTTTATCACGGATTGTTAAGATTTCAGAACTATGTATCCGAAGTAATATTTATTTTGTATATCATTTTACTAATGGCATAACAAAGCATGGTTTAAATCATGCTCATTCGAACTGTATACCTGATCCACACTAAACATCCAGTCAAGGTCAATCTTGCCCCGTTCTTCTGGCGATCTTGTGCTCCACTCTTCTGCATAGCTCAGCATATTGATAAGGACGTCTTCAATGCAAGTAAATTCAGGATATAAATGGTGCATATAAAGTACTGTTTTTGTTAAATTTCCAACGACATTCATCAACATTTCCTTTCCATTTTTCTGACTCTCGGGGTTGTAGAAGTCGTTCAGTCCCATAATGATCATAGGGACATATTCTAACCAGGTGGCAGTTTCACAAGCTTGTATCTGTGCATGCATCTTTATGTCCATCTCTCTGACGCCAGACTGCAGAGCAGTGGCCAGCTCCAAGGTTGCATTCATTGCATTTACTGCGGCCATGAATTTTACACGTTCGTTGAATGTATTATTGATGCCAGTATCAACCATATTTCGTATTAATGATTCAACATCTGATGCAATGCCATTATAATCCTTCAAATATAACAATTTATTATTTAAATATAACACAAAAATCACCAACACCACAACAACAACACATGCACACCACATGATTGCTATTTCCAGTGTCGATACTTCTGATGCAAACTTTTTAGGATTAAAGTTGCTGTATTTTTAAAGTATACAAATGTATGTTTTCATATGTTGTCGTTAATAAACAATGCTACATTTCTGTTTAATGGAAGACGAAACATGAAATTCTCGGAAAGTTTTAACATTTCTAGGACCGAGGATATTAATTTATTGTCAATTTTTCATACTTATATTTGCAACAGATTATATGATATTTCATTACCTTTAACAATTGAATATAATTTTTGTAAAACATATAGATCTATGTATTAATGAAGTAAAACAATTCAACTAAAATAAATAACCATTTGTAACATAACGTTGATTCTAAATGCCAATGTAAACGTTTATATATACATGTATATATATTAAAACAGTTAAAGACAATTTCATTTTTGTGAAAGAAACTTGTAAACCTTAGAATTGCTCATCAGATCCATTTTCTCCTTTGCTGTCACATAGGCCGGCACAAGCAAGTCTATGCTAATGTCTTGACTGGCTTTCAGCAAATCTTCATTTAATCCTTCTAATTCTGATATAGCATTTTGAATGTCACTGTCACCCACTTAAATTGAAATTATTACAGTAATGTTCATAAATGTTGTTTCTTTTCATATTTAAAGGAACGTTGGAAAATTAAAATTTTCTATGACATAAATAGCTAGCTGAGCCAAATGAACTAATCATTATTTCAGAAAAAATAGTCATCGTATGCAGACAGCCAGACACCTTAGAATTTATTTTTAGTAGCATATACGTAGTCAGTATTACGCGCAAACTTCTTGCAGCATTGCAGTAAGTGACATTTAGATGTGTATATCATATTTGTATATTTCTTAGCAACCGTAACAAAACAAAACTTTAGAGTTGTTCACATTTATATAAAAGTCAATGTTTCGATTTAAATGACATTTTATCATATTGGTTTAAACAATAAATTTATTTCAATACCGAATGTGACTTGTATCTGGAAAATATATGTCCCGATGGATTTCTAATGTATAAAACTTGCTTTGATATAATTAACATACCAAGATCATTACAGCTGCTCTCAATGTCCTTGTTTTCTATATATGTTTTGAATACTTTCAGAAGATCGGATCTTGATTTACGGCCATCATGCATTTCTATGTAGTTATTATGGATTTCCATCCAATGTAGTTTCTCCTGTCAAAGTCAAAATTAAAACATAAATGTCTTATGTTGATTTTTTGTGAGTCAATGGATTTTATTTCATATGTATTGTATCTTGGTTTGTATATCCTAACTTTTTTAAAGACATAATTTATCTTAAAATGAAATCATTGGTGTATACGCCAGTGAACAATCATAAACAAGCCTTGTGACTGGTTAACGTTAAAGAAAAATAAATCAAATTCTAGCGAATTGTCTGCGAGTGATGAGCTACATGTGAATTTTTTTTAACCTTTTATATATTAGCACAATTATCTAAGAGTTTATTAATGTACATGTTTTTCATCCTACTACCGCTCAGTAACATCTTTTATAACAAGGATCATTTCATGTTCACATTTAGTATGTTTCAAATTGCTATCTACTTTATTATGCCTTTTGCGAATTAACTGCTACACAATTAATGGGAAAAGACTTAAATAAGCATTAGGTTGCTTCCAGTCTAAATCTTTACTTGTTTTGATGTGAAATATCATGTATGTAAATATGCTTATGTGACGAATAAAATATGTTTAAACCAATTACTATGTTGTTTTGTTGTTATATTTTTTAATTAATTATAAGATGGAGCATTTCAAGAACAAACTAGATCTACAACGAAGGTAATACAATTGACGTAACAACAACATTCGAATAAAATTACCATTTTAAGGTTTTCATTGTTTCACGTTTTAACTAGATAAAGTAATGTTTTCAATCAAGAAATTTCTGTCAAGTTTAAATTTTATTGATTATGAGACTTAATGTGACTTCATTAATCCATATATTTAAATTTAACATTATTATCTTACTAAACAGAATTATACTTGCCTGTCTAAACATTCGAACATTGTGAAATGTTTCAGAGGTCGAATAATTATGGTTGGCTTTATGGTATATAAATCTAGTATGGAACATCTCTTGATGCGGGCTTCCTCCAAACGGGTCCATCATTATCTCGCATGTAGCAGGTGCCATGCCTTCAAAACAAATATGTGAGCCGCGTTATGACAAAACCAATATAGTGCGTTTGCGACCAGCATGGATCCAGACCATCCTGCGCATCCGCGCAGTCTAATCAGAATCCATGCTGTTCGCTATCAGTTTCTCTACTTGTTTAGGGTTTGTAAGCGGACAGCATGGATCCTGATCAGACTGCGCGGATGCGCAGGCTGGTCTGGATCAATTGCTGGTCGTAAACGCACTATGTTGGTTTTGTCATGACGCGGCTCATGTTATTTATAAGACTTATATTTCCCATAGAAAAACGTAAGTAATATATTACTGACCTGCAATAAGTGTATCTGTCTCGTTGTTTAGTTAAAAAATAAGTTGCGTACTTGTAGACTGATATTTGTAGACAATAAAGAATGAACTTTAGTGAACATTCTATGAAATTTTTTTTATATTAAAAATAAAAAATGCCGACTTTTGTAATACCTCCGTGTGACATGCCACAGTTGATATAGATGTCAAAGGTTATAAAGTTATTACATTTGCTCATCTCGTTATGCAAGGTATGCAATGGATCCACTTGAATAACAAGGGTATATTGTCCTGGAAGAATAATCATAAAAATCAAGTCTTAAAAATCAACAAATAGGACATAAAAATAATCAAAAAAAAATTCAAAACATGATTCTTTTCAGGAATGTTTAAACAGGGATGTGAAAGATGAAGGACATTTATATGTTGTAGACTCAATCCAGGAGCAGTTATGAGTTCTCATAAATACTTTTGCAGTTCACTTGATTGAAGCATGGCTCATACATTTGACATTTGATAAATCAAATTAAGGTTCTCCTTTACTTACCTATAGCTGCCTTATATAAATTGAAATAAAATAAAGAAAACCAGGATTTCCTACAGAACAGTAAGGGTAATTGAAAACCATCGTCCACGCCCCTAACACAGAATCAGAAAACAATTTGCAGAAATAAATAAATGAAATTTTGTAACGTGACCAAATGTTTTGAAGCCGGTATATAACAGACAAACATCAAAGATAAATGTAAATAGCAGGTGACCTTCCGGCATTATTGACAAGAAAAATATCAAAAACAATGTCGTGTTAGCCATCTTTAATGATTGGAAATATAAGATATCTGGGCGCCTATGTACAGACTTCACAAGATACCTAGCCTGCAATTGTTACATTTCATTTACAGTGAATGTGCTTCTTAATATATGCATATTTGTTAAATATCATATTAATGATAAGCCAAACATATTTATATAAGATAATAGGCCATTTTTAAGGTTATGTTATTTTGCTGTTTTTTCACCATACCACAGACACTGAGATTCTGGTGACTTTCTTTTATCATCTGTAACAAGTCTCCTCCATTATTCAAATTGGCTGAAATGTGAAAAACAAAACATCACACAAAGTTGATTACTATACGAGTTATGAAGAATTATTGAGCTATACGCACACTTTTTACACCTGAACATTATGAACATTATTTTACTATTTATTTCTTAACCCATTACGTTATATACACGCCTTTTAACGCCTTTTTCACCCCCCCCTTTTTTGTTGTCTCAAATGGTGAAAAAATGCCTTATTTAGGCCCCCAACACTTGTTTTTGTTTGAGAAATGTTGTTAAAAAAAGTGACCTCTTTTTCGGCGCGGCCCCCCAACCAAAAGATACATCAGGGGGTTGCCAGAAGGGGGATGTGCCCCCTTCTGTTTGGGGGGTTTGAAGGGGGCGGAGTCCCCCTCATCGCCAAGAAAATTTTGGACTTGTGAGAGGCTATAAATGACCCCAGATTGATCATAAGGTAACGTGTAAGCAACGCTGAAAAGCATTTGACTCTATCTCAATCCATTGAGAAGTTGCAGCACTTTGAAATCAATTTTGATGGAAAAAATCAACGCAAAATAGTGATTTTTGGCAATTTTGAGATGTCCCCTCGTTGCCATGGTAATTTAAGCCTGAGCATGTTGTTGCAAGGGCAATGGTCCAGTCAACATTTGTGCCAAGTTTGATTAGTGTTGAGGCATTTTTTATAGTATTATAACAATTTGAACTTGTAACGGGAGACTTTTCAATGAAAAAAGCCATTTTTCACAAAATGCTCATGAAGTAATGGGTTAAAAGAAATACAGTCAGTAAGATCTGATAGGAATATATGTTTTTGTTTCCAAGACTGTGGCACGTTCTCTCGCGCACATTACACTTATAGCACATACATGTATTAACGAAAGACGCAGTAGTAACAATATTAAAGTACCAAACAGGTATAGTTTTTTTTCAAATATTCTTTCGTCATTGTGTTCTCTGTAAAGCATGACACATTTTGTAATATTTATTGCATAACAAATTCACGTCATATAAAAAATAAATGTAGGGAAAATTAAGAAAACATCACTTACATAAGCAAATAGGGACCCCTATTAGACTGTCGTAGTAAGTCATCTCTGGAACCTTGGTTTCCATTCCCATTTCTGTACAATGCTGGTTGCTAGGTACTGGATGTATTCCATGTGTTTTAGTAAGGTAAGCAATGGCAAATATACACGTGTCTGCCGGATCGAGAAGCGGTATGCTGCCATCGACAATTATCTGCAAATAACTTTGATTAAGTATTTGGTAATATTAGTACATGTATTATTATTCTAACTTTTTCTCAACAATGAAGTACATGATCACCTATAAAAATAAGTAATATAAGAGCAGAACAAATTCTGACGATATTTTCATATTCGATAAACTTTTAATTTGTTTATACAGACACATAAACATTTATACCTTATCTAATTTAATAGAAAGTTTTCTTATTGAAATAAATTTTGTTTTCAAAGCAAGCATGCCTGCTGCGAAAACAATATTTTCAATAAATAAAGTCTAGATACTTTAGCCTCTTTTATACTTACTTTAGGGTTATTTCTATGAATGCAGACAAGTATTTAACACAATATTAACCAGCAATACAAAAGTCACCACAAAGTTATATTTATATAGTGAAACGATACAATGAACATACCCATTACATTAATATCAATATAATGTTAACGAACACAATTGTCAATAATCCAAACAGTGGCGGATTACCTTTAAATTGGCAAGATCTGTTGCGTAAAAGAGATCACTGGTTGTATTTATATTGTCGATGTAGAGGGTGGTATTGTTACTCTGTGTGTATGGCAGGCCATTAGGTGTCTGTAACTCTAGTTTCAGGTCAACTCCTTAATATAAATGAAGATAATAATTATGTTTTGTATGACTCTTAAATTTTCATCATGCGCGTGTTGCCAATAAAATTCTTATCAACGTTTATTTTTATTATTACCATTATTATTATTACTATTATTATTATTATTATTATTATTATTATTATTATTATTATTATTATTATTATTAGTATCATTATTTTTTATTATCATTTTATTTATTCATTTATTTTTTTTTTTTGGGGGGGGGGTAGCATTTTTTAGGGGGTAAAAAGCATTATCTAAAAGCAACGGACTATCATATCACAAGCTTTACAAGTATCACAATTACTAGCCGTGGTCTTAAGTTCTTATCAAATTCTGTGAAAACGCCAAATAAAATACTAACATGCAGCGTGTTAAAGAGAATATTCAAATAACAATAGTACGAGTTGTGATTATAAAAACGCCAGTGAAACTGATAGCCTAACGTATACCTGAGAACTCACACATCACCCTAAAGAAACCTTTTCCAACATATTCTGCATCGAACCCTGACTGTTCGGAGAAAAGCCTCATAATTCCCTTTCCACCTAAAATAGCAAACTCATCGATATTTTCAACATATAAGACAGAGAAAAAGTGTAATACATGGTCATCATAGAAAAGCATATTATACATAAAGCAGTAGAATTATAACCTGTTTTATGTTTATAGCGCAAACTTATACATATATAATTGGAAAGGTGTTAAAATAGTCGTTTGCAGATTACAAATTAGAACTCTTGTCAAGTCAAATAATGTTATAATCTGTACAGCAATAGATTATATTTACCTCTATTGTCACATTGTCCATCGGGAATCTGGAACTCTGTGTTGCCAAGGGTTACAGTCAAATAGTGTGTAATGATATCAGTGATGTTATCGCCTTGGTTTAATTCTGTTAATTCAACTAAAGCAAAAATAGCTGTTAAATATTCGGTGTTGTTGCAGAGTGTTTAAGTATATTTTTACGATTGTTTTTCTTTTATTGTTGTTGTTATTAGAACTACATGTATATATCTATAAGTTAAACAATGGTGTTTGGGGAAAAAAGAAATCAATAACTAGATATAAACAAAACTTTAAAAATGTAATCACTTACTATAACAATCTATAAATTATATACGAGGTATATCCACTGTACATGTTTCCTCGACATCATTTTCAAATATAATAATGATAACGAATGAACTAGAACAAAATTATAATAGGGACTTAATTTTTACTTACTTGAGACTATTTTAGTGGATTTGATGATATTGTCTGGGTTTTCTAAATCAGTCACAAGAGTCATTTCAAATTTCCATGGAAAGGATTCAGCTGGAAATAAGTACGTATTGCTTGTCAATCCATGAACAATCACCTGAAAATTGTCTCCACAAATCTCCTGCACAGACAAAATGGAAGGCAAATGGTTAATTTTAAATTCTAACAAAAGTTTATATGTGACTAATTTAAAATCAATGTGTCATGTCAAAAAGTCTCAGAGGATTTCTTAAACATCATATTCTACATGTGAAAATTATTTCGTAGTGCATGATTAATTGAGAAGAGACTGGATAGTATTAGCGATATATTATATACTTAATCAAGGTGCCTTTACTATGGCATTTTATGATCTTCGTGTGGCCAAAAACAAGCAAAAAAAGAAAGCAGTTTTTTTTCACAGAAAACATCTTTGAATAAGTTTTCTTTTCTTTATAATGAATAGGCCCTACTTTTTATCCCATGATAATAGTGACATATTACAAATGTTATGGAAGACAATAAAACCTTGATTGTCTTTTATACTTGTTTTCTGTCCCAAACATAACACAAAAATGCACGTGTAAAGGCACCGTGTTTCAACAAATAAACTTTTTAGGCCATTTCAAATCATTTTGCTCGTGAAAAATTAAGGTCAAATATTCAAAAAGGAATGTCTTAGAAACTTATGCACTTTGAAACAAATCATAAAATTCTGTTTTTTATCAAATGGAGAAACATTAGACCCCAATATCTTTATAAGATATGATTGTGAGCAGCCATCAATGTTTTACAAAAACAAAACTGTTGGTATTGTCAAATAAGACAAGTTTAATATTTAAAAGGTGTGTTTACCTGTATTGTAGGCGAGGATCCTGCTAACATCGCTTTCAAGTCACAGTTAATGTCAAGGACATTGTCCATTCCTGCATGACAAAAGTCATTATCATCAAAAATACTGAATGTAATGATCATCTTGTAAATTATAGTTATACATGAACAATAAGACAGTAAAAGAACTACTATCCGATGTGAAAAATAGATTATTTTAATGACTATTTTTAAGGTAGCGTGCTCTATTTTAAAGCAGTATTTCAAATACGCAATCTCGTATCTTAATTTAAAGCATCAACATATCTATGTCAGATTTCCTGTATTTTCATGGCAAGGGCTTTGTTCCTGCTGATGCCCGCTTTCAGATATTAGGAAGCTTTCTTATAGAAATGCAATAGACTTTTCTCATATGATGACACACCTTTCTGCGATAAATGATTGTGAAAAAACATCGCTGATATATGCTTAAATAATACTCAAACTAACATTATTCTATTACATGAGTTTTTTCTGCAAATATTGCCTTAAGCACAATGATGGGTCTTTTTTGTTTATCTGGCGGGTGATTACAATAATTGGTGTTTTCTCTTAAAAGAATAACAATTGTATAAATTTTTACTCTAAAAAAAGTAAAGGGTGTGTTAAAATCATGCCGTAAAAGAAGACAAACTGTTTTTCCATTTATTTTAAGACGACATTACAATCTAGTATAATCTACTTCATAATAAAACGATAGTAGCACCAAGAACTTATAGTCGCTTAATTTTGAAAATTACAGAACAGAAAAAGTAAAACGTAAAAAAAATCGAAATATTATTATGTAGCCGTTGGCGTCATTTATTCAAGAATACGTCTGTATCATTTCTCGAATGTACCAATATAACGGTCTCAAAAACGGAGGTACATTGAGAATGGCTAATCTTGTACTTTTTATTATCTATTTTACAAAAAAAAAATGTGAAAATAAAAACTTTATTTGTAATACTGATCGTTTATACTTCAGTACAGTGTAGTCACGAGTATTTAATTACTAACAAAATTAGGTTGGTTTTGAGTAAACATTTTATCTTTAATTATTTCATTTTGTTTTGTTCAGCATTTTCCTCGAAAATTGCAGATCTTATCTTTGTATGATTTCCAAGTTATAAAGTCTTATTGATAATCAAATATTTATGTTTCCTTATATATTGGTCATTTAAGTTGTAATATCTATAAATTATAATGACTACACATGAAATATTCGTCAATCAATGATAAAAATGAGGCACGGAATTATAAAATCGCAGCAATATAAGCAAAGCAGCATTAATTGTCCCAGGTAAGACAACAATTGCCGCTTGCCGTTGGCCCCCTATCCTTATGGCGGATCTTTTTCTACTCAGAATTTCCCCATGTTCCTATACTATTTATTTGCAAATTCAAACATTTATTCTTTGTTGTCATTTGAGCTCACAGGAAAAATATCTATATACTTCATATAGACCATATATTTTGTTGTTAAAACAAGCCATTTTATGTTATTACAAACAGTGTTACATTTTTGAAATTATTTTCCCCCTAAAACTTTAAAGACTTGTCAACGAGTTATAAGCTCCACACTATTGTATTACGTTCAGAGAAAAGAATTGACACTGTATAAATCGATTGTAACATAGTTTCAAAGTTTCAAAGTTTTATTTCATAAAATATCCTGAAGGCCAAAAGCCCATGAGGACAACATTTTAAACAGTGTACAATCATGTTGAAAATTATTACTACATACAATGTACTAACATATTGTTATAATCGTGTATGCTTCTAAATCTCTAAGTAAAAGTATAGTTATAAACATGATCTATTTTTTAATACTGATTATGACATACTCTATCTATTCGCATTACTTCATCTTACGAAGTGTGCTATTGATTGCACAAATTAATAACACCAGTGACTAGAACTTCATGACCTAATAAGAATATCCATATGCTTCGCAAAGACCAAAAATGAAAATTATATCTGACATATCACAATGTCATATATCATTTATATTTTTCATTATGCCTGATGTTTGCTCGAATGCGAATGAGAAAAATATATCCCAAACAAATTCCAAATTTTTTTTTTCTCAGAAGATAGTGTTACATAAGAAGATGGATATTATTTTTAACACTTAACAATATTCGGAGAAAATTTTCAGATAACATACATATAATGACAATGTTACTTCATAATTTAATGTAATATTTTTCAAATATTTGACATTACATGGCAAAAATCAGTCTCTCAGACCTAACACACAAGCACAAAAGCAGTAGTTAACTTGTTTATCTTACATGTAAGGGAAAAGCACATTCTGTCCGCCCGCACCAGCTGTTATATTTACACTTTTGTCTTAACAACTCGTGTAAATATCACATCCAGCGCTACCGCACACAACCCGCCCCAATCCAACAAATAAGACATACAAATATCTTTATGTATTATTATAACAAGCACAGTATAATACCTCTACATTCATATAATGCCTGTTTCCGGCAAGTTTCATAAATGCTAAAAAAAAATAAAAAAATAAAAAATATTACTAATTGAAATAACTAGTTGACAATAAGTATGCATATTGATATTTGCTCTATAGAACATATTTAACTAACAAACATTTTTGTATGTTCATTACTTAAATATATATTGTACACATCATTTGTATAGAGTAAGACGGACAAATATCCTTTATTAGGTTAATGCATCAACATTTATATAATGCCTGTTATGAGCGAGTTTTATATATTCTAATTGTAACATAAAATTGTCATAACAAGTATACTTACATATATATATATTTTTTATGTTAACATATCATGAACACCATTTCAACCTGCCACAAAATTGTATTTATCATTATTCCAAATATTCAGGGCAGTGAATAAAATCAAACCGTTCAAAATTTCAAATAATTTGATTTGTTTCCTTGTTGACTTAATCCATGATTATAAATTACATTGAGTGCCCGTGGTGCCCGTGGTGCCCGTGGTGCCTTTATGTGATATGAACATTTTTTATATAAGAAATTAATAAGTCAAGATTTGAAAAGTAAAAATGATATTTTTATACAAATTAGAAATTCTGGCCAAACACCACTTTACTTTTATGGTGTTTATATTATATGTCAAATAATAAACCAGAACGTTTGATACTGTGCATCAACAATTTGTCTTCTATACCATTAAGTTAGTTTTGCTTTTATACTTAAAGGTTAGGTCATCATCTGTTCAGGTGTGAATGCACTTTATTCTGCGAACTCTGAAACACTTTTAAATCTATGCTTATTAGGTCAAACATTTGACCAGTCACTTCATTTATTATGCATGAATATTACAAGTAAATAAGGTTTCTGAGGGCAACATATTCATTCCTATAGGCAATCAGATAATAAAGTTTACAATGTATGTCAAATAATAATCATTGTAGAAACGTATGTTCTGCAATCGTCGAAAATAAATTACGCAATGTAAGAAAATAACTGATACAGTAATAGTTGATGGAATGAAAATATAATTACTATGCTGAAACAACAATGAATGAATTTTTCATGAAGCTTAGTTTTCAAAAGAAATGGGGTGTTAAAATGCAAGAAATATAAAAAATGTAAAAATAACAAAGAAATTTGCAAATCTGCGGCCGAAACGAGGGTCACCGCAAGAAAAGGAACCAAAATATATTGATTTCAAGACGAAGGAAGACATGAACTGGCTCATAATAAGGCTGCTAAAATATTTTTTTTAACCTCATGAAATATATTTCCAGAAAAAAACGTTTACTTTTATGAACATTCGTGAGAATGACCTTTGTACCGAACTGAAGTTTTGTTGATATCTATGAACATAATAAACGCATATATCACATTATTGATTCTTATATTCGGTATATCAAACTACACGTGTTATATAATATGAAATATGCAGAGAAAATATTATTAAGACACTATTTATATCGCCGATTTCATGAATAATGCATCGGTATAACGCTGGCAACTCAGAGTTCTAAGGATTAAATACTATTACAATACCTTGCGCATTTATTCCTATCACAAACATTATAAAACAAAGGTATGTACTGAAATTACCAGTACGCGCCATCTTTTATGTCTGCAGTGACCAGTGACCACTGACTCAAATGAGACCAATAATCGAACAACTAGCAATAATAATAATTACATAAACAACTTACCTTAGTTACCACAGGTCTAGGTAATATTGCCAGGCAATACTCGATATTTCCACAATAGTATTAGTTATTATCAATTTATGGTCTCTGCTGTGTTCATTTAATTTCTCACATTAGTATGTAATGGTTGTTAACGATTGTTTGCAATGATTAAATTAATCTTGTAGAGGTATGCTATTTTAACATAAAACTATTAGGTGTGTATTTTTCATATTTGTAAGATTAAAAAATCAGCTCTATCTGTGAATTCCAAACAGCCACCCAGACTTATACTCGATCATGATTCAGCAGATATCAAGTGTTGGTTGGCACCTTGTTGTTATATATTCCTGGTCCTTCGGGAGCAAAAATGCCAGTTGTGCTTGGAGACTGAATACTGCCCAGAGCTTGGGAATATTGTCCATGAAAAGACTCAACATTGATATGCTTCTTACTTTTAAATTGTTTTAATTATATCGATGAATCTCCGCTTTCTAGATTTTTTTTTCAGATAAGTATTTACTGCTCATTCTAAACAGCCATCTGTTCTGGCTTTTGTTAATACAACAATATAATAATGACTCACAAAAAATACGTACATTAATCTGATACAAGCTGTTTATTCAGGCTAATGTTAATTGATTATTCGCAATTATGACTTATAAACCATCAATTGCCATAGGTACCTACTGTTAGTTAATAGTGTTTTCATGTTTTCAATATTGAAATGTAAATTTTAAATTCAAATCGCCTCTACTAGATCATATATCATTGTTAACTTACAATGATCTCGCCACACAATATTGTATTTGAAGCATATGATGGAATTTTTTTTCTGGATTTACTATTGATGTAAATAAATATATAACGTTTGTTGACGTCACCATTGCCCATCAGCATACCAAAAGATATATCATTAAAATGTTGTATCCGTTGAAACGAAATCTATATATTCATGTTATTAATATGTGGAAAGCATCGGTTCGGAACTTTGAGAAAATGACATGGTATTGGTTAATTAATGAAGTTGAAATATTCTTACCGGTCATTAGTATCTAAGAGACTGGCACTAGTTTCTGGTTACAAAATTGACAATCGCCTTATTACTGTAAAAATATTTGTTGATGACAAGTAAATATGTTTTAGCTATTTCCAATTCTAATGTAAATCAAAGCATGTCCAACTAAAATAAGTGACCGTCTGTGCCTTTTAATCAATACTGTAAATTTTCAGCTACTCTGTGTTTGCCAAAGATTTTTACAACAATACAATACATAGCATGCTATCCAGTATTAAATAATAACGAGCAACACCACATTCAAAGAATCTTTTATTGCAGAACAAACAAATGATCAAACAAGAATATCACAGATAAGTAAAATACATTTATAAGCTTCTAAAAAAATACATTTTACCATAAATGTCTCAAAGGCGTAATTTTGCCAACGTTAGCTTATTTTATCAAGCAATCTAAAAATCAAAATCAGTTCTTATACTTAAATTCAATACTCTTAAATCAATTGAAATATTTACTGTAATAATACAAATTGTGTCATTTCAACTATCATTTTCACTGAAGGTACACATTGATACAGTTATGCAACAAACCAAAGTACCTCTTATTATATAAATCCACAATGCAGATGTCTTTATGCGCTTTTTCGATAATCTAAACAATTTTACAAAGAACTAAACGAAAAACCCGGTTAAAAACATATGATGGTTATTCTTGGAAAATAGCTCTTATACATAATAAACATTATTATATTTTCATTTTACATAAAACATACTATGCGTTGAGCTAGTTGCTGATGTCTAACCGTCTAACGAGATAGCAATGTGAATTATACGATGGTGCACTATAGCATTAAAGGAACTGCAGATCTTTTAAACTCTGTTTTCTTCAAAATTACATCATTGTTACGGTCCGAAACATTATCGGCATCTGATGTTGATATTATATGTCCAGAAAATAGAGTATCTTATAACTATATTGATAATTAATTGATATTGATGTCTATTATTGTATTTGTGGGTCTTCTGGAAATAAGACATAGATTTTAGCTAGAATAAAACTGTATGCCATTCCAAGTTGTATTTTATATACTTTATGTTATTTGAGTGTTAGAGTTTGACAGAATTTAAAATGTTAAACAAGTGAAATAATTGCGTAAAAAGCAATATAAGAAGTAAGCAACATGTAACACATGAAATACGTATAACAATTTGCATAAACATATATATAAACAACAACATTCCTGATTTAAATGGATATTACACTATTTGTTACATAGTGTGTTTTTTTAATTTGCCATATTGCAAATTGTCACATATGCATTTTAAAAAAGAAGTTTTGATTATCAATGAGATTCTGTAATTGGTCATGATGACTTAATTATGATGCTAATATATTGTGTTATGCAATCACAGGCTACTCGATTGTGTTATTTTTTTAGATTATAAAAAGGGCATACCCAAATAATGCGTTGTAAGAATGTATTTGACTGGTTTGGTGTTTTCTCTTGTAAGTCAAATAAACTTGCTAGAACATTCCAATATTTTATTTTAATACAATTATAAAAACGCAACCCAGCAGACGCAATTTTCATATTTTACCAACTTTTACAACTTTATATTGTTGTTTATATATGCACAAAAACATTAAGCATATACATATAGATATATGAAATTGAAAGAAAAATACTTCTTATCTTTAACAGCCTATAGAAATAATCAATATTCACAGTTCAGATTTTTATCATGAAATGATCATGATATATCTTAAATGTTTCCTCTAAAATTTTCCTTTATACAGGCATGATTTCAATACTGAAAATATGCATATGTATTGCTGAAAAAGACAAAGCAATTATGTTTGTTTAACATTTGGAAATTAAACAAAATATTTCTTCAATTCTTTCACAATAAAGTGTTATCTCAAAACCGTGCTAAGTAGCTTGAAGCTAATTGCGTCAACATTAAAGCTAGGATATTAAATTTTAATTAGTAATCTATCGTTTAATTGTTTTCTGTTGCATAGTTAATAGCCTGATACAGTATTACAATAAGAACAAAAACTTTTTTTATTATTCCCTTCTGTTGTAGTTACTGAATATGATAGATTCTTTTTTAATTTTTCATTTTTGTACTTTTTTGAATTAAACTAAAGACATGTGGAGCTTAAGATATTGACAACAATGTTAGTTTTCTAAAAGATGATTAACAAATATAGATTTACTCACAACACTTACAAAAACAAATTTACTACACTAATTCGCTGCCAGAGTTGTAACTGTAAAATTAAACTGTATTTGTCATGGTGTGTAGTAAATGAAAGTGAAAAAATGTTTCTTATTTTTAACCTTACATAGATAAATCATATCAAACTATACCTTTATGATAGAGCATGTTGTTATATATATGTTGTTATATATTATTATTTTCAACACGATACAAAAGTCAATTAATCATATAGATTATTTTTATATCCCTAGCACAGATTTAATTGTTTTGATTGTGTTGTAGGAAAAGAGATTGCACGAATACACCCGTCTATTAGCAGCGAAATGGTATAGATGGGAAAAGCGTTTACAAAAGTAAAACATATGTACAAGAAAAAATAATCATCCTCATCTTTACAGTTTTATTTATCAATTGGACAAATGTATGTAGTTAAAGCTTAATGAGGGTCCATCCGCATTTTCGGGCACAAAATGCAGCTTTCGCTGTCGAGTACGGACCCTGGACATATCACCAGTCATGCCCTTAAAGAGTTAATTTTGAAGCACAAAGAGGTGATAATTTACCTCCATGCAATTTCCACGGAGTATTAGCCAAAGATATGAATTTTGAGCCAAGAGTAGGTCACTGTACGGCGGTCAATGAGAACCTAAATGTACAGTAACCTGTGACAATATGAAAGGTTAGCCCTGAAAAGGGCTGTTGGTGTTATCATAACTATTTATAGTTCTTATAGTGGTCTCATGGTGGAATATATCATTTTATCATTGAAAAATATAAAGAAAATATAAAGATACATTGTAATGTTATTACAAGTCAAAAATGCCGACCACCCTTATATATACCAGTAATATAAAGTTTTATGTATAAAATGTCAGTCTTTATCTTCCTTTTATCAATCATTTTTAAAGAAATGTATGGCCATAAGAGTTACTTGATCTACTTATTCAACATAGCAAATTATATGTTTTGAAATGTAATTATTGAAATCGCAGATTGATAGATTTTTAAGTAAGCTTGTATGCTATTAATGACGATCACAAAAAGGAAGTTTAATTGTTCAATTATAGAATAGTTAAAAGTATCCCAAATCTTTAACTTTTTCGCTCAATGTTATACGAGTAAGTTCTACTTAAAAAGTTTAATATTAAAAATAATCAATTTTATCTGATTGTAAGACATTAAAAATCCCTTTTATTTTAAAAGAAAGACACTAATAATTCAATCTTAAAAAATCAATTCAATTCCCGGTATATTCGTCTTGTCCTCGATTAAGAAACTTCATTTATTTTATTTTCTATTTTCTCCTCCTGCGCATCATTCCATCGTTCCCACCTTCAGTTGGTGTTTCACCGCCAGACTCTCCGGTCATACCCCCTGCGACACATTCTGTACAGCTGCATACAGCTTTTTTGCGCCAAGCTATTTTCGAAGCATCTTCATTCATCATACCATGCATAATGTATTTCCGTCCATTCTCAGCTAAGATGATAAAAGAACTAGACTGGTAAAGTACTCTTTTTATTAAAATTTTGTTACTATGGTAAATATTTTCAGATGTCTTATCGCATGTGGCGGTCATTTCTGTTAACAAGTATCGCTCATGTTTTCCATATTACCTTTGAGACAATATTTGTTCTCCTGCCATTACCCTTAGTAACTTTACCTTTAAATCATCATTTTGAATGTTACTGAAAATTACGTAGAACAATTTTAAGACCTTATCAATATCATTTTATTTACTTTTAAACTAAATATTTATTGTTTTTTTGACAGTTAGTTATTAAAAAGATACACTTACTCATCTCTTTCCAATATGTTGGAGGTCCGGCTTGATCTGGCTTTAGAGGATCCCGGTTACATTCTGAAAGTCATGAATAATGAAATAATTCTTGAATAAAAATACAACTGAATTGATCGAGCTTCTTATATATATTTATTATTTCATACAGATATTACTAACTTTAAGTTATTAGGAATTCTAAATGTCGGATTTAAAAAAGCTTAACTTTCTTATGAATATCTGGTGCTATTGTTAACTTGCAATCCGCATATACAATAAGAAAAACTGCATCATTCTACTGGCGTTCTTTGGGGATTTCAGTTTCCTCTTTTTTAGTTTTGTTCTTACTTTGATTTCGTAGGAAGCTATAAGGAAATAGACACACTTTCGAGTCCGTTCCTGGAAACCAACCAGTACTGAGCAATGAGTGTTAAGTTTTATAGCTCGAAGAAACAACGACTTGCCCTTGATTGGGTTTAGCGAGCGATCTTTCGGTCACTAGTCCGACGGGTTAACCACTAAAAATAGAGTAAAACAGAATCCTTTAAGAAAACTGTTTTGAATTTGGAAACATCCGCAGATGTGTTCATACGGCGGTTATCATGGAACCTTCAATATGACATAGTAGTGTCATTCCATGAAAAGCGGCGTATGTTCCCTTAGTAAAAGAATGCGCGTGCCCTAAACGAGAAAACAATGGGCGAAACTAAATAAAATGGAATTTTGAAAAGGGATCTGAGGTTATGAAGCCTGTATATCACAGACAAGACGTCAAAAGATAAATTTAAAAAGCAGGCAACATATCCTGAGGGTGATTATACAGGATATAAGTAGGAACACTGGAACCACCCGAGTTGAAAAAGGCCAATTACAAGAAACCAAAAATACCACCCAAAATGTATACACAACAAAAATGTCGTGCTGAACGATCTTCACGGATCGAAAATATAACATCATTAATTTAATGTACGGGGAGACTTTTTACAGCCGCCACACGGCACAAATAACACGGATGTGACAATAAAATAGAGTAAAACAGAATCCACTTTCATAATTTGCATACACAATGTATCACAAACAGAATAAAATTCTACTTACGTACGTCATCGTAGTGTTTCATTTTGTTGTATATATCCGGCATACCCAATGTCATAAAACTTTCCCTTGCCACTTTCTTCATCACATACATCTTACAAATTTCAGATTTGCTTTCTTCGTCAATTTCCTGCCATATGGAAATGTCTTTAGCGTTACACATTCTATGCAGCTTCTTGATACACCTGCTTGGTTTTGCGCAATGTCTAAGATCATCTTCTTTAGCAACCGATTCTTCGTCAGCTGTGAGATACGCGGGATCGACTACCTCACTTGCATCAGCCTTTTCAGCAAAAATTAGAAAACGCTTGAGAATTTTCTCCAGACAGGATAAGCCAGGATTACTGACAAAGGCCGAAACAGTATCACCTGCAAGATTGAACATATCTTCATGTATGTCTTGACCATCTGTGTATTTCCATTGCATTTCTTCAAAACGTCCCGGTAAGTCACAGTAACTAGTGTCCGTAGTAGAGCCACCTTCAGATATGACATGTAATGCTTCTCCCAACGCATGTATTTCCATTTTATGCACGAGCATTTCATAAAGGTTTTTGCCAACGGTAGTTTGAGCTTCTAATTGTTTGAGCGCATTTTCAAATTCCAAAACAATGGTACTACTGTCCTGTGAATGAATATTTGACAACTGTGGTAAACCATTCAATAACTGAATTTGGATAAATTCAATTCAAAAACATAATGATAATACTAATGAGGATTTGATTTTCTGATAATCTAAAGCTACATTTGAAGCTAAATAAATTGAACTTCATATCTAACTTGAATATCTAAATAAGAAAATAAAGATAGGAATAAACAGTATATATTGATGTCCTATTAAAGTGACATGGTTACAATGTCATGTTCAGTATATATTTTTAAAGATTGACTATTAAAATGATAATTGACCACTAATTGATATTGAAAAATGTATATGATACAATATATAAACGATCTGATATATTCGAAAGCTGTTTATAGACGTTTCCGTCGGTAATGTGAATTACTGATCATTTTTCATGATAAAATTTAAAATTGAACACGATGCAAAACGTCAAATTTTGATTTTTACCAGTTCACCGACCATTTACCAACAGATGGGCATGATGCCACTTTAAGTATATTTTTCCTTTCACATATGATTATATAATTATAAAATTAAATGGCTAAATATTTACTGGTTACGTAAAACAGGTATATCTAATTATTGTCAATTTTTGGTCTGAATCCTTGACCATGAACAGGTACCTATAGTTACCTAATACAATAAAACAAGCTAAACCTACTACACTTGGATCGCTTAGTTGTTTAAGTTTTTCAATAACGTTCAGAACTGAACTTGGTAGTGTTGGCTCATTTTCCTCTGGTACGACACTGTCATCTGCATTTTCTTCCATTTTGTGTACCATATCAGATGACTCTGCAAATGTAGCAAAATAATGTAAATATGTGCAGTGTTAAATGTTTGTTCTCTATTTAATCAAGATTTAAAAAAAAATGTTTATCAAAACTGGGAAATTCCGATCCAATAATTAACTTTATTATTATAACCACAGAATAACACTTATATAAATGTTTTAACTTACCGGTACATAATCCAGGACTGTTTTCAACGAGTTTCTCTATGTAATGTCTCAGAAGCTTCAACCGACCATATGCATTTTTCATGTACATCTTCTCTTGCATGCTCTCGTATACTTCTTCTAGTTTTTCGTCCTGAAATCAAAAATACCTATGTAGCTATGAGCATAAATTCTTTACCACTAACGTTGGTGTTAAAACAGGACATCAAAATGTATACATAATATCATTCTTTGAAAAGAAAAGAAACTTTTCACTTTTCAGTAAACTATTTGCATAACTCATGGCCTATGAAAATGTCTGTGAAATTAATAGATATACAGATAACCATTTAAAACAAAAGCGTTTCCTCATCTCAGAGAAAAAAGGTAAGCATTAAAAGAATTTGATTAATAATCTTTATCAAAGTAATTTCTCCGACTATCTAAATAAGTAGAAGTTAAAGTCAAGATAGTGTTATATGAGATATACCTGAAATGAGAATGACTTCCCATACGGTTCCATTGTCGTGTCACGTTTACCTCTATAAACAATTCGTGCTTCACCATCAGTCCATGCGTTCCTTATCAATTCACAACGTGGATGCACTTAAAAAATAACGTTATATTGCTTATTTGAAATATTTTCGTATGGAAATATTTCTTTAAAATGATCTTGCAGTGTTCTCTTTTGCACAGTTGCTGTTACTTTTAATATAATGTTTATACTTGAAATGGTGGTCATTGATAAAGATTTTTAAAAATTCGATATTGCAACATACATGGATAGAATTACTTTATATCAGGGTAAAATTGATTTTGATAGAAAATCATGACTTTTAAAGATACTAGTACTTTATAACATCATTTAGATTTATCTCCGTAATCAAGCGCGATGTACATTGTTGAGATAAAACAAAAATAATAAAACAACATTAATGTGAAAATGTAAACGGTTTGCTCAACTGAATAACGTCACTTTTACTATGATTTGTACAACACTGTAAACAGTAGAAATTAATTTTTTTATTCATTTCATTTTGCATTTAGTTCTGCGCTGTATCTTTTCATAATGTTTTGCACATAATTGAGATGCATCGCTTAATGTTTTGTTAGAAAGCTTTTCAGTGTACTGTAGTATTTTACAATTGCAATGTTTAATTAAGTTTTCATATTGCTTTTGTTGTAATATTGTATTGCCGGAAGTTGTTCAAGTGCTGTACATCTTGTAATCGTAATCAAGCATTACATTAAGATTGTAAAAAAATATTTTTCATACCTGAATCACATTTTTTCGTAGAATTTATACGGAAAGTAACAAAATTGTTGCAGCGATTTCCTTCGTTCCCTAGTGTGTTCAGAACGTCAATTAGCAGTACTAACACATAATCACCTGTATATAGATATAAAAAATCCTTCAAAAAAGATAATTCTGGCAGTATAAACAATTATAAATAAATAAAAGTCCAGTAATTGTAGCTATATTAGATTGTACCCATTTTACTTAAGTCTTAATTGCTATCTTATGATCATCTGCTGCTGCCATGTACAATTTATTACCGCTAGTCCAAAAAGTGCATAAATACAATTGCATACATGTACATATTTCACCAAATAAAGCTACCTCAAATCTCAGAAATGAAAGAACAGTTATCCTTTCGAATTCTTTGAGTTAAGTCTTTACAAATACGGTAGAATATTTATGCCTGTATTCCGCCTGTTATCTCTTAGCTGTAATGCAATGCATAGTTCACAACACTACAGTTACCTATCTTTTTGTTTTGTTAGATAAATCTACATCAAAAATATAGCCGTTTAATTCTATGAATTTAAAGTGTGAGTAATATACATCATTGGAAGACAAATATCATAAAATTAACATTAAAACACAAGATATTATTTTATTACAGACCGCAAATGTCCAGTTCATCGTCATTCAACTTCACTAGGTCAGAGATTTTTGTTGATGGCAGGTCAGCATTGGCTGCAAAATATGAAATAACAAGATTACTATCAAGTGTTACCAAAAAATCAATCACAGTCAAAATAACTGTTAGAATTAGTTTTTGTCAACCTTTTAGAATTTCACTTTAAGATTTTTTCTTCATACACTGAAATTAACAATATACTGGTAATTACATATTTATACAAGAATATATTTGTAAAGAGTTTATTTATTATAACTACAATTATTTATAAATAGATTATTACTACCAGTGAATAGTTCATGTGCAACAATGATATCTTTGTCAGTAATTTCTGGTACTGAATGATTGACATTATTCAGACATTCTGTTTCTGTGAGTGGCATTCCTTTACGATATTTTGTTACGAACGCTGCAGCAAATATCCCGAGCGGCACTTTTCCTTCCTCTGTCACGAATTCCTGAAAGTCTCCGCCTAGGTTTTTGGCCACCACCTAAAATGTGTGTATAAAATCTGATTAATGGAACACTTCAATTCTTTACATTGTTCCGGAAAAAGAAAAACGGTTGCAATGTCCACGCGAACTACAGTCTACTTCAAAGTTCCTACTTTGCATAATTTATAGTCAAATATTTTGGAATTGTTTATTTGTCTTGAAATGAACATAAAATATAAAACTTGAAAATCTAAATCATATTGGTTGATACAGACGGAATTCATATACGAATAAAACACTTCTAACGTAAATAATATATTGTTTTTGATTTTATTACTAAGCAACTTCTATTATTTGATCGAGTTTTAGAAATAATTAAATTCACGATAAAATTATCATATTGAAAACAAAGTTTACTGATTGATATGTTAATACGTCAATAAAAAACTAGATTTTTACCTCAACATTAGACCCGGACAAAGCTGTCATTAGGGAGTTTATTCCATCCAGGTAAATTGTCGGTGTTTCTCCACCAGTCACTTGCATCGCCAAATCAACATCTACATTAAAATAAACAAACATTGCTATTGTCACTTTAATTTTATATTAAAGATGCTTAATTTGAAATATTATTGAACTATACTTTTAAAAGAGAGATGATTATTGTAACGATATAGTTAGAAACAGCCTTTAGATGGTAATGTTATAAAATTTCTTCAATACACAGACCTATGTTTAATGAAATAATAAATTTCAAATTCATGTGCTCAAATACATGTATTCAGTTTTACAAGGAATCATGCCCCTTTATGAATAAAGAAATATGCAAATGTATTTTCCATTTTACACAAAAGGGAAGAACATTATGCTTTCTATCTCGTTTATCGTACGTGTTTCTTATTAGATCGGAAAATCGATTGCGGAACTTTAACATTTTGTACTATTTTTCCTAAATGGTGTAGGTTTAAAATAATTAATAATTCAGTGAAAGCATTTAAGTTTAGATAATGAGAAACACCGTAGAATAAGATAAACAAGTTTTGACATAATAATTCCTTCCTTTAGGTGACTTAATAACTTTGAGAGTGAAAGACACGTGTACCTTAGGAACAAATAAAGTTTTACTTCTTTAGAAAGGGCAAACATGAATTTTATAATGTTTAAATAATGGTTTTTGCTGCGTCCTGTGAACGTTGATCTTTATTCTCGTTTTTTAGAGATTGTTAGATGATTGCTACCTGAAGAAAGTAGCGATAAATCTGAAATAATTTGTCATTAAAGAAGTAAAATGTGAACAAAGTAGTATTTTGGCTTTCATTAAAAATACTCATTCGCTATAACTGTACTTATTGCAAAAAAGCATCAGAGAGAAAAAAAAACTCTTCAGGCAATTGGCAAATGAATAATTTTATGAAAACTGTAAAAAGGACATCAAAACTAAAAAGCTTTTGAGAAATAAAATTCAAAGCATTTTTGAGGCAACAAGGGCATTTAATAACTTTAAGAATTAAAGGCACATAATACCTAAGGAACGAAAATATTTTTCCTGCTACATTAGTTTAATAATGTTCAAATATGTTGAAGTACTTAAGAGCTTGTCAGATGCTTGTTTTTTTTTTTTAAAAAAGGAGCGCTAAATGGAAAAATATTCGTCACAAAAATTGCAAAGTGTAAATAAAGTAGTATTTTGACTTCCATACATAGTACTTAATCACTATTACTATACTTATTGCCAAAAAGAGAATTCAGGTAAATTACCGACAATTAACATTTTGGAAATTGATAAAGTACACTAAAATTAAAAAGCTTTTGAAATTTTTTTTTTAAGTATTTCTTGTACATAATGGGTACACCAAAATCACTAATTAATCGCAAATAACCTGTAAACTATTACTTGGATCTTTTTCTAAAAATCTTAGATTTCTCAAGTTTCATTTTCTTGAAAGATTTTGAATTATCTGGAGGCATGCTGCTTCAACTTAGCTGTGAAATGCAATAATTACTTTTATAATTACTTTTCTGTTTTGTTGGTTTTCTTAATACATTGCACCCATAGTTAGTGATAAACTCATTTTCTGTAGAATATATTTGCAAGTACAATTATCTTTTAAAATAGCTTGTGCTTAAGTTTATTAGCACGTGCTGTGCTAGAACGTTTCTATTTGAAGGTTAATATCATACTCAGTTCGGGCGTTGTACATCATGTTTATTTATTATGCTTAAATAGTCTATATCATTTATATGTCTTTTATCAAAATGTTTACCGCTGTTGTCACACCAGATTCTGCGCTTGACCTGGGCCTGATATAAGAGAGCTCCATTTGTAGATTCCAGTTCAAAATGGACTGAAGCTCCTGAAAAAAATACTTTGACAATAGTGCCTTTTACACCACGAATAATATTACAATGTATAATGTTGTTCTTGATAATTACGGGATTTTTCTGTGATTCTTTCTTTGCAAAGCTAACAAACACATACGAAAGATACAAACATCCGTTTAAATAAATTATTATGATAAAAATATGCACTCAAAATGCCAAGTATTTATATAAACAGTTTTCAGTACCTTAACTTTCTTAATTACATACTGGTGAGCGTAACTATTATCTGTAATTCACGATGACGGTGGGAACAGAATATTCTTTTTGATGTTTTGTTTTCAAGAATAGCTTATTAGATATAAGCCTGCATAAATAAAATACACAAAAATTATTAAGAACGTTTACTGGTTCCCTACCTCTAATAGAGCACGTGCTTCCAGAAAGGGCCATAACTCCAACTGGTACAAATTTTGTTATATTATCCTTGTCCATTAGGTCAGTTGGACTGTTTACTGGAAAAGATAATTAGGAAATAATTTGTAGAAACAGATGTAAATAAAATATAAATTATTCAGTTTAAGGAGTTTGGAGTATAAAAATATTATGTTTGGCGTTTTTTTATTATTTGAAATGCTTTAAGTTGATTTTGTTCTTGTTTTACGATAATAATTAATTTACATACTTTCCATCTCAACGCGAGAAGATTCTTGCCCCGAATCGTCCTTGATGTACGATACAAACATTAATGGAAATTTGTCGCTCGGGATGGTTGATATTTCCGGGGCCATTACGCTGTAATTGGAACGACAAATACTCTGTAAAGAAAGTAATGAAGTTAGCGTAACAGTTCATTATGCCTGCATTCAATATTAAACATGGGAGAAAAGTCTATGAAATATTAAATTTCAATTATCGATATGTATGTATAATCATTTCACACAGAATGATTTTTATAGTAACGAGTAAATCGCAAACATATCAAACAAACAGTAACGCATGTCTTATATTACTAATATTCGTTTGTTTCTTTTTTTTTCTTTTTTTCTTTCTTTCTTTCTTTCTTTCTTTTTTTTTCTTTCTATATGTTGTTATTACTCTTGATGGATTTTGATGGCGACTTTCCAGCTTCTCTGATGGAAGAAGACCAAAGTGCCCCTCAGACATAAGCGGAGAACCACTGACCTTTCATAAACAAGCTTAATCACTTCCTGACATGAAAGAAACTAAAGTCACGCCCAAATGCGGTGGCGGGCAAGTATTTTAAAGTCGGCGACTCCCGGAGGCCCCCATACTACAAAATGTGAAATTGATCAAACATTCTGTATATCGGTATTCTTTTATTTCATTATGTATGACCGCGAACTTTTAAACCGCTTTTGTGCATATTCAATAATGTAAATAACTAATCCCTGAATCCACAAAGGAAAGGAATGTTTTTATATCGGATGATTGATTCTTTGAACATAATTGTTGCATTTTATGTTAATTTCAAAATGGAATGGTTTACACAATATTGAACTTATGTGTATATAAAACATATAAATTCCAAACAAATCATTTTCACTTATGAATACACGTTAGTGTGTTATTTTTCCACACTGCTTGTAAGTTGTTGCTTTTCAATAGCATACCTTTTTGGCTATCGATAAAATCAACTTAAAGAATATTCAAAGTTAATATATAAGATGTACATATTCTAACCTTGATGGTATTTTCCATCCCTTGAGTGATGTTGCCTCTTCCACATAGCAACTTCAACTCTGAAATTTAAAAATTGGTTGTTGTATGATAAATATTCATGTTAAAGCAAGGCTGCACATAAAAGAATATAAATACAAAACACAAACATGCTAATGAACTATCAGTTTAAATACGCGGCTCCACGATTTCTTACCTGAGGGGGTGGGGGCGGTCGCACAATTCCGACAAGGGATAATGCAAAATGCATTGTCCAGTGAATTAGTTTTCACAGAGGAGATACTAGTAACACGAAAGTTTGCCATAAATTCTTAAAAAGATGTTAATATCTAAATCCAAGAGAGTTCAACTCCCTCCCTAAGAAACACACACAGTCCCTCTCTGGAACAACACCTTTAAAATCAAACATTATTGGGTATGCCTCATTGCCGTTTGTACTTTAGATAATTCTACCTCGAATAATAAAGATAAAGCCCCTGCCCGACATTGGTCAAACATTTTTTTCTAGAGTAAATATTTGAACAACAAATACATCTTTTTATAAAAGTATTGTCATGTAAATATAAGATAAATTAATACAAATATGTATGTAAATCCTTTTAAACTAAGTTACGCTAAATACTATTGGTAACTTTTTGCAGATATTTTTATCCGTGGCGTCTATTTATTTAGTAAAAAATCCCGACTTTCGATTGTCATTCAATGAGATCTTTCACTGGATAAAACTGCAACTTTTACATTTCAGAAATTGTTTCCTTTAAAGACTTCCCTCTCTACCAAAATGCGCTTTTGTAACCTCTTTGTTCAGTTTCGAAAAGCTGAAATATTATCTTCTTTTGGAATCTGTCACAGATACTGATGAATTGCACTGCCAATAGTATCCCTAGACGTTTATCTTTTATCGGAAAGTATTTTCTTAAGCCTTGGTAATAGATACTTAAGTAGATAGTTTCAACTTTACATTAGTAAGCAAAATCGGGTACCCACCAAGCGCAAAACTTTCTTAGACCAAACGCTTAGAGTACCGTGTTTTGCTTTAAAAAATTGGCCCACCTGTGCGCTTTGAAATGACTTGACATCCATATTATGCTATACAATTCAAACCGTTATTGAACGCTACAATGAAGCAGTGGATGCATAACTTACTGAAAGATCCTCTTATGATACAGTTAATGTAAATATAAATCTTTGTGATTGTATTGAAAACGATATTAACATTAATCCCTTTGTATCCATTGTGTCAGTATACCTTAAACAGATTCATTTTATCCCTTAAACAACGGGCGTTGAACGCAATTTCACTAATATTTGACAGAATAGATCAAGTTTACGATCACGAATAATACAGTCGGGCTCCACTAGATAGAAACATGTAACATTGATTGTGTTAATGTGATTATCAGCCAGTTTTCGCCTAGTTTACGAAAGATTATATGATTATTATGTTGGAATGCATACAAATATTTCACAAAACTGTGCTTTTGTTAAAGATCATGTTTTAACTATAATGAGAATTACTCATTTTTGTTTACAGTCAGTAAACAAATTTTCCGATCCTTAAAGACGTTGTGTTTGTGGTATGTTTAGTTTTAACTTGTTTGGCATTTCCTAGTTGGGTGGTTCCCATATTTCTTCCTGACTAACGTTGAACCACCCATAGGATATGTTGCCTACTATCTGTCTTTTGACGTCTTATCTGTGATATGCTGGCTTAATAACCTCTGATCCCCTTTCGAAATTCCATGCCCATTGTTTCTCGTTTAGGGCACACGCTTTCTTGGGGACCATACGCCGCTTTTCATTGAATGGCACGGAAGTGTCATATTGAAGGTTCCATAATAACCGCCGTATGAACACATCTGCAAATGTTTCTAGACTCAAATTTTTACCATTTCATGTTTAAATGTTGAATTCTGCTCAAGCCGATGCTAGGTGGCGTGGACGGTAGTCTGCATTTGACAGCACCGTCAATGAACAGGCTCAATCAAACCGAGCCTGCAACATTTTCAATTTTGCCGTTTTGGGCTTTCTTTAGGGACTCTAATTTGCCCACGCAAATATTATTTGTTGTTGTTGTTTTTAACCTCGTTTAGGGCCCGTTTATTTATACTTTCTTTATATTATACATTCATTTTACATTTAACAATTATTAGTTTTACATGTCATAATAACATTATAATATACATTTTATACATATTCTGTTGCATTGGTAAATATTTTTGAATTATTACTTACGGAGAGTGCATGTATTATGAATGATTTTTTTATTAGGAATGTTGTACTCAGTTTTTAATTGACGAAAAGTTTTGAATATTTTTGAATTTGTATTGTAGATGTCGTTTACACGGTATATATATTTTTTAATTTCCTCTCAAATAGAGTAGACGGTTATTTTTATTTTTAATTTTTGCCAAGGTATTAGTTCTGATATATTTTGCGGGTTTTAATTATAACTGATTTCACTCCAGCTACTAATACATATATAAATTTATTTTTTAAGTTTAATTGTTTTCAATATATCTTGTGTGTTTATATTGCATCTAAATAAAGATATTCCACCTAAATTATTTACATTGTTTTCTTTATTATTTCCTTCCACTCCCCATTATCAACCCCAATATTATCTGTTCTTAATCAAGTGACGGCAAAAATATATACCAGTGATTGACAGGTCGTTAACAACACTATAAATAATGTTATATGTTTAATGGATAAGTCTTTTTTCTATAAATACATAAAGTAAACGCACGTAAAATTTTTTAGACAGCCGTTCTGTTCTAAGCTACAAAACAATAGATAATCGTTTTGTAAAATGTCAAAAAAGTATTTCAAACGGCATATCATCTCCATGCCAACTTATTTTTAAAGATTGATAGAAAGTTTATTCATATAATACGTGTACAAAATGCACATGGTCACAAAATACATACATTCAAATATAATTAAACATCACATAATCATCAAAGTTAACAAGTGTCATACAATGATACAAATACATCTTTGGACTGTATTAACAAAACATGGAGAATGAAAAGAAATAAAGTAATATTACTAACAAGATAACATTTTTATAATTATGTCTGAAGATTCGGTTGATTTAATTCCCTGCGTTTAAATGCTTGTGCTATAAAATTTCCCAAATTTAACAGTATAACACTGTTCTGTGTAATATCGTCGAACTATTATTTTGCAACCTTTTATTTTTCATCTGAAACCTCTTTCTGTAAATTGATTAATTAGACAACATAGCTTTAGACCGATCAATTATAAATGCCAACCCGCAATTAAACCTGATGCACCCAACATTAATCGAATTTGTAATTATCTAATAGTTATCACAATTTGTTACAATAGCGGTATTTTGAAATGTTAGTTACTTGTCGTGTCTCCAATTCTCTAACGAAAAACAATTTGTTGTCTAATATATTTGTTTTGATCAATAGCATGACTTTGAGTCGCCTGTTTTATCATTTGTGCTATGAATATAATGTTCATGGGCTTTAGTTCATAAGGTTTTGAACCAAAAATGATGATAAAAGTTGCAAAACATTTTATTCAACCTTTACTCTAATACATAGTAATATTACATTCAAGATTCGTGGATCGCAACTATTTTTATCATTTATATATTACTTATCTAATGTGTAATAAATAAATAAATTTGATATTTGCAATTAAACAATAGAAAAGATGAAAAAGAACACGTACTCGGTATATCAGACGTATCCGTTGTCAGAGCACATATCACAGAAAAAAGTCCATAACATGCCACACTAAAAACTGTTTTGCTCCACATTTTTCCTGCTGAACAAATCAGTTGACGGGCAGTTTCTGATCGGGTGCTTCGTCTTCTAATCGAATTCTTATACCCTGGATAATACGCTCTCTGCTTCGCTGTCTGATTGGTTCAAATATGTTGATTGTTTCGTAGCCGAGGATACATATAAACAGATACCCGATATGTACCTAGTTGTATTTGAATTATAAGTTAAGTTCTAGGACATCACGACCACTTTTGTTTTGTCTATTGAACTGACGTTATTCGCCTAAAAGGTAACCCATTAACAATTATTACTTTATTCTGAAGTTGAGCTTTTTACCGTCTGAAACATTTATTATTGATAGTCCCTTTAATGAAATATACGATGTCGCGAATGGTAGCATGAATTATTTATTGGACATTTGATTAATGTCATACAGTTTAAAATGAACTGAATTTACATGTTTTTTTAGAATTTAGGTTTCCCATTTGTAAATTAAAATCGATTCTGCAAAGCAACTTTTTCATAGTAGTTCACACAATACATGCTTTGACATTAGGTACGCATTTAACATATATATTTTAAAGAGCATGTGTTACATTTTTCAAAAATCAAATTTTTGAAATAGAAACTTATATATTATATAACAGAAGTTGCAAATCAAATTAATCTCATTTGACTATAGGTTTCATAGGTTCTGTTTAAAAACAGTTAATTGAGTAAAAAGTTTTTGTGAACAAAGTGCAGCTATTTTAAAGGTAATCATATTATTTATTATAGTTACTATAATAGTAGTTGTATACTAGATCTATCTGAAACATAAGAAAAGTATAAAGCTATATCTGATCAAATACCTTAAAATAAAACTATGTTGTTTTCATAACATTTATTGTCGATTCTTGAAAAATTTGTAACATTTGTACCATTTAATTCAATATAGATGAATAATTTACGTAAACAAAATACAATTCTTCGGAACAAAATAGTTTCGCCGATGATTTCTTGCATACAACATTTCCTTTCGATAAAATACACCTATAAATCGCTTTCATACAAGGTAGTTTATATTGTCATCGTTTTAATCACAATAATTAAAAAAATAATTTTACAATCTGCAGACAACGAATTATTTTAACATCCTGCAATTTCGAAAAGAAAAGAAACAACTTTGAATCTGTAAAGACCGTTTGAAATTGAAGGATTTTAATATCAAAGTTCAAAAGTTTGCTATCCAACAGTTTAGGGCCGAATAAGACTTGCCTCTGTGTAAAAGAGTGGCAAAACCGAGTCACTTTCGGTTAAAGAAGGCTACACTATGATGGGTTGATATGCTATCACTATCGTAAGATTTTATTTTAAAATTTCAACACACATATTCCAAAAAGGAACTTATTTACTGAGTATCATTTACTTGCTTTTAGTTTGCACTGACCTTTTACTTTTATGTCTTTTTCTTTGCGTAATGATAAATAAGTAATGAGGATCAGTAAAAGAATAATTTAGGTCTGGTCGAATGTAAAAGAAACAAGATCAAACACAACTTGCAGTCTGAGAAACTACATTTATGACCTTATTATTAGGGTGTATAATAGACAAATCATGCAAGGACTATAGTGATTAATATTGTGCAAGTTGTTGGATTCATATACGAAAATAATAATAATGAAGGTTGTCTAAAAAATGAAAACATTTAATAAAATGAAAAGTTTTATTACAAATACTTTTGAAGAAGGTAAACGCTTGAATATCGATACTATTGTGGTAAGTGCAAATTGGCCGTATATCATTGTTATATTTGATATATATGTATTTTTTAAAAGTAGCTTTTCCTCGTCTTTCTATTTTACACTAAAGCCAGTGGCTGTGCATGTGTACACCATAGAGGTCAGTAACTATATTCATAATTGTTATTATCAAGCTTTGCTCATTGTCAAATTATGTATTATTTTGTCCTGTGTCGCCATATTACTACATGTACTTGTAATAGACATCGTATACATGGTAAAAAACATTGAATTGGAAACAAAATAAAGAATGCAGGATTTTGAGTTCTTTAGGAAATTCCGAGTTAGTTGATAAAGATATTTACATTCTATTGTAACATAATCGTCTTAAGAGTTTTGATATTACTGACAAGTGTAAGCGTTCAGTAAAACACTTCGATTTTTTTATTTCGTTCAAACATTATATTACAAATTAACCTTAATGTTTTAGACATACTAAGATACATGAACATCATTGTTAGATTACGTTTGTAAGTTTTTCGAATACTTAAATTAATCGGCAGAGTTAAATTGAACTACTTAGTCATATAAGTGTTATCTGCCATACAAATTATTTATAAGACGAATATCATTTTATGTGTTTTTTATAATTAACAAAGAAAACAAGATAATCAAAGATTCCATCATTCCCATATAGGAAATTTTAAATTCCTAGAATTTTGTAACTGAAAATATCACATAACTTGCAATTAATAGTCGTTCTGACTGAAACTTATCATTGGAATAACTCATAAATGCATTTAAATATTGCTATATTTTATTAGGTATTGGATATGATATTCTAAACAGACGCTACCTAGCACTTTATTGTTATCAGAATAAAGAGTCTTTAGAATGCATGAACAAAGGAAGTGTATACTATAAGTAAATGAAACTCCAGATCAAATTCCAAAATCATTTTTGTAAGCTTTAATTAAGCGAAGACAAAAACGATAGCAAATACATATAAACATGAGATGAAATAAAAATGGCTAATTTCACGTTATATTTAATTGACCATTTTCTTTAGTCTTTAACATGGAATGAACTATTTCATCTTTCAGCTTTTGCTAAAAAAGCATATATTTTTATTTTTTAAAATATCATTTACTGCGTTAGTGGATAAAATCTTTTACCCTGGTTTCCTGACCTAGTTTGTGACACAAAGTTGTGTACACGACAAATGATTTATTGGAATCGTGACATACCCATTACCCGGAACAATAGATCACGTCTCCCTTTGTACTAATACTTGAAGGTAATCAATTAAAACAAAGATGTTAATAATTCAAAATCGCTTTTTAGATGATTAAAGATATAATGTATAGAAAAACCAGTTGGGTACACCGGCCGAAAAATGTTAACAAATAATTAAAAAAGGCAAATAATGTGTTATGCTTACACAGTATTCAACCTTTTGTCCGGAACAATTTTTCTCTGTAATTGAGGTTTTATGCTTCTGAATATTGAGAATTTCATTTGATCGATACTCATCTAACAAGTGTTTGCCCATTTAGACATGAAACCTCACCTTCTATTTTGCAAACAATTGCGTGTTTTTTTGTTTTTGTTTTTGTTTTTTTTTTGCAATTAAAGTCGACAAATATTACACTACACTTATAATTATTTACCTAATGCATACACTATTTCGCATTGTTCTTTTAGATATTTGGACATTCTTGATGTAGTGATTATGGAGAGTGGTGGCTAAGAGAAGCAAGTATTCAGGGTCAATTCTTTCGATATATTAAACCATTACCATATGACATGTCTGCAACTGTTAAGTAATACTTTTGTATGTTTTTCACTCCAAAAATGTTGGAAGAAGGACATTGAAGTTCTTCTAAACTAATACAATAATATTTTAAGCCATTGGTTAATCTTCACCAAGCTATCCATTTATTTTGCTATAACGACGTATATCCTATTTTGATCAAAACAAAATTTGTTCGACAAAGTCGTTTATCACATACATCACATACCCGTGCCGTTTTTGCGACTCCGCAAAATTGATATAGCATTGCTGTTAACTTTTTTGACGTGGCGTCATTTTGCAATATTCAATAAGCGCACATCAATGAAAAAGTGATTATTTTTACTGTTAACCGTTCTTATTTTGGATATGTGATAAATAGAATATTAAATTCATGTAGGTTTATGAAAGAATATCATGTTTGCCAAATGTTCGCATACTATAATGATGTTCAGCTCGGACAATAAATTCAGCATTGATTTGTTTGTTTGTTTGTTTGTTTGTTTGTTTGTTTCATTTTACGCCCTTTCCAAACAGTATTTCAGTAGTATAGGCGGGTCGTTTCCTAACCAGACAGACAGACAGACAGACAGACAGACAGACAGAAAACTTTATTTTCACTCAAGGTATTACAAATACAACATGAGGATGTATGCAAATAACACAAATTAAGCAATATATGGTTCCAGTAGAGATCAGCAATAGAAAAAAAAGGAAAAAAAATAAAATAGAAAAACAATTATTTATGCATTCAGTATCATATATCATCGTTCTGGTGGAGAGTTACACCAGTACTAGACTACCTTCCTCCCCGTTAAACTACCAAAGCATTTCAGTATTGAACCTACACTCATTCAATATCCTCTATCTAATGATTTTTAATAAATATATTATCAACTGTTGGGTGGTTCTTACGAACGTCAGTGTGTATCTTAAATATTAGATCGGGATCACTTGCAATTTTAACTAAAAATTTTCTTGTTTTTAAAAAGTTTGCTAGGACAGCTCAAAAGAGATATAAGGCGATAGTTTCGCCCAGCTTTCTGCAATGCCCAACAAACAGTATAATGTATATATTTATATAGACTTAGCACAGAGTAATCGGTTATTTCATTAACAATTTCATCTACACCCTGTCATTTATTTGATTTTAGATTTTATTTCCGTATCCGTAACTGGACCAATGATAGTATCATGTTCAGTGAAAAAAAAACATTTGGATTTTTCTGTTTTATCTCATTTTACGAATGTTTAATGATCAAACAATGTGAGAATGCCAGAAACTTTTTTTTTCAAATCAGTTTAAACTTCAATGTCTTTTTTAAATAGTTGGTCAAACATTATTACTGATAAGAATTTAATTGCTTGACAGTCAAATCATATGCTGATAACATATTTTATATTTGTTGTAAATTTGTTGGTAGACCAGAGGATTTACGAAGGTTGTCCGATAATATGTATTGTACAATATCTCAAAAGCATTAGACTAAAATAGCCTAATGAAAATATGAATATAGGAATGGGTTATGTGGTATAATATGCACAAAGCTGACCTTCTATCACTGAAAAATTGCTTCACAAGCTCGGATGAATGTGTTGGATCATTATCTTTGGCTTCTATGCCAACAAAAGGCTTTGTTTGTGATAATATTTCTTGTGCTTTTTACTATAACATCTGAAAAATACTGACAGACT